ATTAACTATTTTCAATAATTCCTCTTTGTTATCTTCTGATTCTAATACAGGATTTCGGCTTAAACAGTCTGCTTCTACATTTTCTTTACCAGGTATATATTTTACCGTAAAGTCGTATTGAGACAGGTAGTATGTGAGATCACCCAATTCTTCGTCTGTCCTGCATTTAATGTTCATGTTTTCTAAAGGTTTGTGGTCTGAGTAAATAGTGAATTGTTTTCCAATGAGCCAGTGTTGCCAGTATTTGACTGCTTCTTTCATAGCAAAACATTCTAAGTATATAGCTTTTTTCCGTTTTTGAGATTCATTCAGTTTTTTTGAAAAATATGCTACTGGTTTGTCATTACCGTCCAGTTGTGTTTGTTTTAATATTGCTCCGATACCCTCTAAGGATGCATCTGTAAAGATTTTTATTGGTAAGTCTGTCATATATTTCCAATACCGGTTGAGAACATAAATATCTCTTTATTTGATTAAATGATTCTTCACACTTCTCTGACCACACAAACTTTTCGTTTTTTCTTAATAATTTATGTAATGTATCTAAGATAATCGCGCTCCTTGGTATGTATTCATGGTAAAAGTTAATTTTTCCCAAAAATTGTCTGATATTCTTTTGTGTCTTCGGAGTTGGAAAATGTTTTATCGAAATCAAATTATCTTTTAACGGTCTTACCGAGTTGTTTTGAATTACATGGCCAAGATACTTTACTGAGTCTGAGGCAAAGGTACACTTCATAAACTTCAATCTAAAGCCTTCTTTTATTATTGCCTCTAATACATTTTTTATGTGTCTTATATGGTCCTCAAAAGTAGAGGAGTAGATTAAAATGTCATCAATATAATTTACAGAGTATCCTGTGAGATTGTGCTTTCTCAGAATATTACTTAAAACTCTCTGGAAAATTGCTGGTGATGTTTTTAAACCAAAAGGAAGGCAGGTCCACTGAAAATGGCCATCTTGTGTGACAAATCCTGTTTTATATCTATCTTCCACCCGTAGTGGTATGGCCCAAAATGCTGAGTTTATATCAAGAGTAGTAAAATACTTACAATTTCTTGTCTTAATAATTAAATCATCTATTAATGGGAAAGGTTGAGCTTGTGGTACAACAATTTTGTTAAGTTCTCTAAAATCTATACATAATCGAGATTTTCTATTTTCACCTTTTTTAAATGCTAATGTCACTGGCGCAGCAAAAGGACTGTAAGATTCTTCTATTAAATTATTCTTTAGTAATCTGGATATTTGTTCTTCGATTTCTAATTTATCTTCTATCGTACATCTGTATGGTCTTTTACTACAGTATGTATTTACAAGTAAATCTATGTGAGCTTCATAATCTTTAACTGATCCTATATCATACTTGTCCCTAGCAAAAATAGTTTTATATTTATTTATAACTTCTTCTATCTCAATTTTCTTTTCTTTATCTAAATGATCTGTCTTACTAACAAATTCCTCTGTTTCTATGTGTTCATTGAAATTTATTGCATATATTTTTATATTCTTATCTTCATTTCTGTTATCTTTAGACATCCTGTCTATTTTCCTTTGTTCTATCTGCAAGTCCTCATTTTGGATTAATTTGAACTTCTTTATCATATCCAATCCGATTATAAAATCCTCAAAATCTTCATTTTCTACTATATATATATCGACCTCTTCTTCTAAATCAAAGATTTTTATTTTTATTGTTATCAAGCCATCTGTCTTCTTCACACCATTAACCGTTTTCATATATGTTATATTCACATTGTCTTTTTTTTCTTTCACTTTAATCAATCTTGAATTTATTAAAGAGATCTGTGAGCCTGAATCATAAACACCGCTCACTTCTAGTTTATTTTCTAATAATAGCTTGATTTTGATTAATGGTGTACTTACTCGTTTTTTTTCTCAGTATTCATATCTACTTCAATAATCGAATTATTATTTACATTTTTGGCTTTAAAAACCTTTTCAGATTCATTTTTATTTTTCTTGAACCAACATAACTCCTCCGGATGATATCTAATTCCTTTGTCCAAAGATTCACAAGTCTTACATGGCTTCTTCTCATTAATTTTATTTTTATAAGAATATATATTCTTTGTTATAGTTGAGTTTTTCTTGAAAATCATACATTCATATTTTCTTATCTCGTTGAACAAATCAGTAGTGTTGTTGAGTTCGTCCCTGTTTAACTTATTCAAGATAAAACTAGGTAAACCAGTTGCAATTAGATCTATCATTGTTCTGGAATCTATCGATTTATTTATATCTAGTATAAGCCGTTCTTTTTTTATAGCATAATCAATTAACAGCCCTTCTTTATATTTGAATGTGAAAGCAGTTGTGACTACATCCCACCCTTGGTTCCTAAAAGTTTCTAAAAATTTGTCTTTCCATTCATTCCATTCAGAATTTACTGATAGTTTAATTACCATCGAGCTATACCAATCCAAACTGGAGTTTTCTAAAAATAATCTCAATATATCTATTTTTGTTTCATCTTTTGTTATATTAAAACGCTCACACTCTTTTTCAAAATTCTCTATCCATTGCACTGCATTAGGATTCTTACTTGTGAATTTTTCGATAATAAATTTCTCTGAAACATGTTTTAAATTATGTTGATTTTCTTTTTTTGTTGTAGATTCTATTAATTTTTCCAGGATATGTTGCAAATTATCATCATTGCCTCTTGGTTGTTTTGTGCTCATTTCCTCTAAATATTGATCTAAAAATTGCATATTACCTTCCTCATCTATATGTTTTCTTTAGATCTTCATCTAATTTTACCCATATCTTTCTGCTTTGGTGCCTTTTCTTTATACTATTTTTTATTTTTGAAAAAGTGTTCAATTTAACTATATATGTATGATGAATCACCGGCTTCAATTCATCAGGTAAAACATAACATTTTCCTTCTTCTGTCAATATTGAAGTTATGGCCAATATATTAGATTTGCCATCGATTGAGGCCATCATCGTGAACTCAAATTGCAGCCGGTCCATCTTCTTTTAGTTAACAAAAATGTCGTTTTATAAAGGAATATTATTATGGATTTTTTCTAAATGAAAACACAAAATTGTTTCTCTGAAATACAAAGAAACGACATTTAATGTCCACTTATCTATCTTTTTACACTATAATCCACTAAATTAATTTACACGTCATCCGCCATTTTATCGCGTGTCACTCCGACGCGTCAAATTCAAATTAATGAAATATCATTCCATTACATATATATATACTGCTACCTCTTTATTTTCACAACTATTGCATTTATGAATTTTCTATGGGGAAATTTTAATTTTTGAGTTGGCAACCCTTTTTTATTGTTGTCTTGTTATGATAGATGTCAAATTGTTAAAATGATGATGAGTCACTTAATTACGTGTTAATTATTACTTTCATAAAACTGTACCGATTCGCTTTATGTTGTGGAAATAACATTAAATGTTTGAAACGGTGACTTTGACCATCAGCTTCGAATTGCCAATTTGGGAAAAGAAGAAAAAAATTAATCACTACAATAACAATGCGTTGATACGCTTTTAGGTGTTTTCTTGTTGATTTAATCTTGAAACACAAAGTATTGATACTGATTTTGTTGCTCCACCAGTTATTAGTTGTTTTTCACTCACTTTTAGCACTTATCACTTCTGATAAATATTTTTTATTCAATGATTTGTAGCAGAGTAGTTTTGCGTATGTTGTACTTTTGACAGCCGGACGCCATTTGAATAATATAGGGTGTGTTTTATTCTTATATATTCAAGACTAATATAGATAACAGTATAACTCGACAGAGGCACAATCATTAGAATAAGCACACACTTCTCAGTTCTGAAACTGCTGTAGCAATGGATATTACATACTATCTGTGCATTTAACAGTTCTTTGGTATGTATGTAAAGAACAAATGAGTGCAGTATTTACAGACTGATCTTAGGGTGAGATCTATAGTGCGCACTTAGACTTTGCTCTGACTTAACTATCGAGCTAAGACACAGTCGGTATTTATAGAGCAAACTACGAATCTCTCCCCTAGTGTTGGCTTAGCTTAATCTCAAGTCCACGAAATCGACGACTTACCAAAAACTTTGACTATAAGCCTAACAAAAATAATGGCCCAAAATTTGCTTTACCATCATATCTTTTACTGGACTTTTTATTTTTGTCGGTTTTTAATGAACGGTGTTGCCATTTTGTATCGGAGTTCCATAGACTTTGGGAAAAATAGAATTTGAATTCAAAGAAATTATAAATGATCTTGATAAATACCTATGAAATGCATGAAATAAAATAATTACACATTATTATGGTATTTATTGTTGTTTATTTATATTATTTATGTAATTGTTCAAACCCCATTTTTGAGAAATCTTAAAAATAACTGGTGTGATTTTGTATGTCACCTGGCAGCCCTGGCAATTGGCATATTATAGTGACAACGAAATTCAAACTATAACCTAACCAAAACATTGCGATCCGTTCTACGTAATAAAATTATTGTCATCTTTAAATAATTAATACATTTTCTAAAGGTTACTCGTGAATTTCTAGTTATTGCAATAATAAAATAAATGAATACATAAATAACAATAAATTGAAGATATATGTGTACCGTTTTAGATTTTTAAATATTTGTTATTGTTAACTTTTTTAAAGGATAATAAACAAAGTATTGCATGAAATGAAACATCAATTTGTATTTTGACATTTTCTGTCTTAGCTTGGGCTTAGCTTAATCTCACCGTTAAAATGTCTATAAATACGAAATCATAGTTTAACCTTAGTGTACACTAAGCAAAGTTTTTCGTAAGGTAAGTCTGAGCAAAGTCCAAGTGCGCACTATAGATCTCACCCTAAGACTTACTGACACAAATGTAGAAATCTTAAGTCAAGACGCACAAAGGGGTATAAAGCAGCACTAGATTATATTCTTAGTTTACCTTATTTAGATGACCAATAAGAATTAAGGACTTAGTAGTTATTTAAAACTTCTAGGGCTAGGCAGCGGAGGTCCGGCTGCTAGAGGTCGGTACAAACCTCAAGAAGAAGAGTTTCTGGATGCACGGAGAGAAGAAAGGGAGAGAATTGGTGAAGTTGGGGTTTCCTCTATTTGGGGCAAGTCACCATTGAGGCCTGAGTGAGTCATCTTTATAATTAATTCATATTCTTAATTGATATCGCTTTTCATTATGAATATTATTATATTATTAGGCCTAAAAATATATTTATCTGTTGTTCTTTTTGAATTAGGTAATTTATTATAAACATTTTCATTTACAGTTCCGAAGAAGAACCAGATTCAAACGCGTCCGAAACGAGTAAGGAGAAGAAAAAAAGCAAAAAGTCAAGCAAAGGGACAAAAGAGAAGTTGAAAAAATTGAAGAAAAAGTTAAAGAAGGTGAAGAAAGCCCGTAAGAAAGCCAAAAAGAAACGAAGAAGTTCGAGGAGCGAAGATTCCAGCGCCGACGAGCAAGAGGTGTGGGTGGAGAAAGGCAAAGAGGCGGAGGCCAGGGCGGGCGTGGGCGACGAGGTCATCGGCCCCGCGCCCCGTTCCGGCCCGCAGCTCGGCCACAAGGACTTCGGCCGGGCACTCCTGCCGGGCGAGGGCGCCGCCATGGCAGCCTTCGTCGCCGAGGGCAAGCGCATCCCGCGCCGAGGCGAGATCGGCCTCACCTCGGACGAGATCGCCTCCTACGAGTCCGTCGGCTACGTCATGAGCGGCAGCAGGCACCGGAGGATGGAAGCGGTGCGAATCCGCAAGGAGAACCAGATCTACTCGGCGGACGAGAAGCGCGCGTTGGCAGCCTTCAGCAAAGAAGAGCGAGCCAAGAGGGAGAACCACATTCTGGCGCAGTTCCGAGAGGTGCTGCAGGCCAGGCAACGGTCGCATCACTGACCTCCGCACTCGTCTTCCGTTCTTACCATTGAGCCACGACAATGTGAAACATTGTCAAACATAAATATATATTAATGGAAAAAGGTACATTTCGACTTTCGACTGCGCTCTCACCGTCCGGAAAGAACGGACTCGAGTCTAATGTAAATAAAACAAATAACTTTTAAAAAGAGTTTAATTAAAACTTAACAGGCCGCCATCCGGTTCAGCATCTAACGATTAGTCCGCGGTCCGATTCGTGCCCTCTAAGGCGGCCAGTCGGCGCTGGGCGGCGGCCAGTTGGTCCGTGAGCGCCGCCAGCGCCGCCCTCACCGCCGCCAGCTCCCTCCTCGCCCCGCAACCCGCCCCGCACCCCGCCGCCTCCTCCTCTCGCGACTCCCGCCGCTGCGGCGCCACGGCCACGAGGCGCGTGAGGTTGTTTCTGTTTAGAACTATCTTGAGAGGCCTCGCGCCCCCGCTCTCCTTCAGCAGCAGCTTGCCCGCGTCTGCCCTCGGGCTTTCATTTAGTTTTAAATAACAATAATCGTTTTAAAAGACAACAGAGTAGAGGGTTACCGGACAGGCCGACGGTGCGTCCGCTCTGCAGTGCCGTGAGCAGCGTACTACCGGTGTCGGCGGGCAGCAGCGTGATTCCGTGCCGCCGCAACAGCGCCGCCGCCGCCTAAGCACACACCTCTTTATCAATATACATCACTCGATTCCACAATTGATAACACTTAGAGTGAAACTTTCCTTATTTTTCATCTCCGTCCCGGATGGCTTGTCCTCTTGTGTTTTTGCTGGTGATTTCGTTTCTGGTCCTGTTGAGTAGATAAAGTTAGGTTAGACTTTTACATGTAGTTTAATGCTACCCATTTCACCACCTGCCTTTAAAGAACATCGCTTACAGTCATTTTAAATGAAAAATAATTATTATGTAATGAATGTACCAGGCGTTTCCTTGGTCACTTCGGGTGATGGCTTCTTTTCTTGCACCAACTGATCTGAAATTTATCAGTGTTTTTAAATTGAAACATGTTTATCTTTAATTGTTAGACAATATCATATTAAATAGTAAACAAAGTATAAAAATAGGAGTGATGGATTGAATGGTACCCGTGGCGGCGTCGAGCTCGGCGCGAGCAAGCAGCGCCACGAGCGCCCGGTGTCCGCGGCGCAGCGCCAAGTCCTTAGGTCGCTGACGAAACTTGCAACGCAGAGACGAGTCGGCGCCGGCTCGCAGCAGCGCGAGCGCCGCCCCCTCGTGGCCTCGAGCGGCGGCCCAGTGCAGCGGCGTCATGCGTAGCATATCGCGGCAGTCGGGCGGCGCGCCGTGCGCCAGCAGCAGCGACACGACACGCTCGTGGCCGGCGTGTGCGGCCAGGTGCAGCGGCGTGCGCTCCACTTTAGTGCGCGCGTCTCGGCTCACGCCGGCGCGCAGAAGCACGGCGCAGGTGTCGGCGTGGTCGTTGGCAGCGGCGAGGTGCAGGGCCGACGTGCCCAGCCAGTCTGTGGTGAAGGGCGCGCCGGCCGCCATTAGTTCCAAGACGAGAGCTGTGTCTCCTGCGCGAGCCGCCAGCAACAGCTGGCGCCCGAGCTCGACTCCGCCCGCGACCACCCCTGCTCGTCCGCCACCCTGTTTCATTATCGGATACTAAATGTTGCTTTATTTCTCTTTCTTATCATGCTGAAAAGGTATACTTACAAACACATCATATATAATGAAAAAAAAAAAGGTTAATATTAAACTAAATTGCAAACACAATTAATGAAGAGAGAAATTATCTCTACACTTTCTCATAATATGTATTCTACATTGTGATAAATCAAGATGTTTAAAAACAGCCTTTAATTCTCAAATGGCATTAAGAGAACGCTTAAATTAAACATTCAATGAATTTATTACTTACAGTAAGCTGAACCACATCTTCAGAACATAGCTCTGAACTCATCTTGTACTAAACGGCATGCTCTGCTGTTGATTCTCTGGAAAAACCACCACAACAACTAGTTAAATTTTTTGCAATTGCAAAATCCATGACAAAAATGAGTTGCAATTCATCACTAACATTGTTGTATATAATTATTAAATATATATATTACATAAAAGACTAACATTTAAATTAAAATAAATAAAAAAATGTTTATTATGGAACATAAGATACAGGTATCACTTATTCCACATCATTAAATTTAAATCTGTAGGCATCCCTACTCATCAGCAAAGAAGAAAGAGGGTATAGGCCGAGAGAAAAAGTTGGTGTAAAAAACTCTTGGTACTCTTTTGAAATAGCAAATCACCAAACAACACTTATTTTAAAACAAATATGACAAATTAATTAGAAGTACGACTAGATAATCATTAACTTTATAGTAAGCCTTTTTACATATCTTTTCATTAATACATTTCTTAAATTTATTAAAAGGCAGAGATAAAAGAGCCTCTGGGATTTTATTAAAGAAGAGTATCCCTTTTCCCAAAAACGAGTTACTAACTTTAGGTAGTCACTTTTTTTATATAAATACATAACATTTTCATAAATATATTGCGAGGGAAAGGTAAGTATATTAACTTCCTTGAATTTATCTCTCAGAGATTCCCTACATTTTAAATTACAGATTGCACAAATAGTCCTCTTCTGCAGGATGAAAATAGTTTCGACATCAGCAGCATGACTCCATAATAATAAGCCATAAGTCATTAAGCTGTAAAAGTAACTAAAATAAACAAGTCTAGCTGTATCGACATCAGTTAGTGAGGGAATTTTTTTAACCGCATTAGCTGCAGAACTATGTCTCTTCGTCAATCCGTTAATATGATGGGACCACTGATCAACCAGATTCAATTCCTCATCATATATAATTGGTCTAGTATCCATAACCCTTGCAATTTTTGCAGAAAATTTCATGCTTTCGTTTTAGTTTACGTTAAATCTACATTGTTAACTAAAATCTACAAAACAAACTTCGCTAAACAGGATATGGATATCGAGCTTTTTAATGCGTATAATATACTTCCTTTTCCTGTCGACGACGGAAGTTATTTATCATGACTACCTATGATGTTATTTAATTAAAATTGGATCAAGTTATTACTTACTAAACGTAGATATGCACAATATTTTATTTGGGTTGTAAGATGCTTTAAAGTAGTTTATTACCATATTTTTATAAACATCTAATTAATGTGTCACAGTTTAATGTTTTGATAGCTTATTTAGATTATATTCCAAATAAAACGTTTATCTGTGGCCTTTTTGTACCGTAGTCATAAAAAAGTAGTAATTTTAGTTATTAATAAAATTTGCAAAAGTGAGACAACAAAAACTGTATAAAATGAAACTTTTTTTCGAGTTTATTATTATCTTAAATTGTCATAAATTTCTAAACTAGTACAATTCTATTTAATAACTGAAAACTAACATTGATCTTCTATGTATCTTATTCAGCATATTCTTCTATCTGCTTAGTTTGTATTTTGCAATCTGTACTGTGGAAGCCAGTCATCAAATTTGATATTTGCATATATTGGTTAATGTCTAACTGTGGATAATGTTTAACGGATATTAGACATCTGTGCTAATGACTTAGATGTTTTGTTTTTTTACCTCTATTAAATCTGTGGATTTACTAGGGATGTGACGTTAATGGAAAAGAATCGATTACATAAAAATCGATTTTTCTTTATTCAATTTTGATCGATTTTTGACAATAAATTTCTGCAAAACAACTATTTTTTAAATTTTTAAAAATCTACATACAACTTTCATATTCCATTAATAAACCTAAGAGATTCATATTAACAATTTATTAGGTTATAAATCAAATAAAACGATATGAATAAAAAAATAACTTTCAAGATAAGGAATAAGAAAATATCGTTATTGATACAATTTTTCAGTATCGTTAAACGTTTTACTATAATAAAAATGAAATGATGAGCATCCCAACAAAATTACAACCTTATTGTCTCAAAAACTAAAATATAAATCTAATAAAAAAAAAATGGTGCGTATACTTATGTACGCGCGTAAGAAGTTATACTTCTTTGGCTTTCTTTATTTTTTTTAAATAATTAATAATAAATATTTAGCGTTAATAATTTAACAATATTTAGTATATTATTCAATTATTAATAATAATTATTATTTTATTATATTATTCATTCAATTTAATAACTAGGTATGTTTCATAACCTTTTAACTAAGTAACAATAGGTCTTTGTGAAAAATCATTGCTAAATTTCTTTAAAAAACTAATTAAAACTCCTTTGTTTAAAAGGTACTACAAATGTCATTATGGTCATTCAAAATTCTTGGCATAGCTGCTAACTTCACGCATATTCTATTTCTTTTTACTTGTAGATGGTCTTATTCCCATCTCGCTCGCGCACGCTCGTCGCCCATACTGATAATTTTGTGTCACGGTGCGCGCGCATCGTAAAATTTCACTCTCATAAATTTTTCATAACGCGCCTAAAGAAGTACAACTTCAAAAAGAAAATTGCCATGAATGTCTACTATTTTATATTTGACTAGTTTTAAAATAAAGTAACTAAAATGATAGTTAAAAAACTAAACGACTACGTTGTTGTAGATCAAAAAGTAAAATATAAAACAAAGCTTTCGTAAATCTTTAAGATTAAACATCAAAAGACGAAAAATAATTATTGGCACTAATTTTCAGTCTCGTTTTATGTAAGAATAAAATGAAGCGATAAGTAAAAAAGCTAAACGACAACTTAACGTATCGTCAGAAAATGTTCAAAATTTTACATATGATTAAGTAGATAGATAGTAAACTCCAATGGGGCCCACACATAGAGACTCTTTCGAATAGGCTGAGCTCTGCAGCATATGCAGTAAAGAAAATCCGACAGTTTACTGATAAGGACACGGCTAAAATTGTGTATCATAGCTACTTTCACAGCGTTATGTCGTACGGTATTTTAATGTGGGGTGCTGCTGCAGAGGTTCAATCCATATTTGTGCTGCAGAAGCGGGCTGTTCGGGGTATTTGTTGTGTTTCTCCGAGGGAGTCGGTACGGAATAAGTTTAAGGAATTAAATATTATGACACTATCTGGTCAATATATTCTTGAAGCCTTGTTGTATGTCCAAAAAAATATAAACGATTTTAAAACAAATGGTGACTTTCACCAGTATAATACGCGAAATTGAACTAATTTGAGTGTACGACCAACTAGGCTCCAAAAGATAAACCACTCCTTATATGGAAATTGTATTCGTTTTTACAACAAACTCCCAAACGAAATTAGAGAATTATCACTAAATAAATTCAAAGCCCTCGTTAAACGGCAATTAATCAATAAAGCGGTTTATAAATTTGAGGAATACTTAAATGATCCTAATCCTTGGGATTGATTTGCTCCAGTTCAAACAATTTGTATGACAATACTTGGCAATTAAAAAGAGTGGCGGAAAGTTTCTTGCCAGTTCTTCTTACCCGCTCTACGCCCTTGACTTGCGAACTGGTAGTAAATGTAAATTTACAATTAATTTAACTTGACAATTCAAAAGTCTACTTGGTTACTCAATTGAATAAAGATATTTTGAGTTTGAGTTTTGAGTTTGAGTTTGAATAATTATTACCTTAAATTTTCAGGTAAGCAGTTTATAAATAATAATTTTGATAATCTCTTTCCTATAATACGGTTTCGTGATTTCCTGACCATATTTCCCGCTTTGGAAAATAATCTTTCGGATGGAGCAGAAGTGGCCATCACTCATCACAGAGAGATGCTATAGAGCCAATTCGGTTCGGGTTTCTTAGGAAAAGTCCCTACAGAGCTCTTCCAGACATTGAGAGGATCTACAATACGATCCAATAGCGGTGCCGCAACGTATAGGTCGAATTCGGTATTTTAGACCATTGATGGCCAAGGCCAAGGCTTTTATTTTTTCGTGATGTACCTGGCTCCTGCCATATATGCTAGATGCCTGCCAGCTGCCTGCTGTCCGTTGACCGTCGTTTTTCATGAAACAGGTGACACTGTTTATGAAACTCGATTTAAACGCGTAATTTATATAATCGATTAATATTACTATGAAAATTGATTATAAGAAAATAATAATCGATTATTTTTAAACATCCCTAGGATTTACTCCATTTCAATTTTCATAAGTTGAAAGTTCATGGAAATTTATTATACATTGATCTATGATTGTTTTTTGTTTGTAATTTACAAATTAGGCTAGGTTTCTTTAATATTTTTTCTAAAGTATTATCGTATTGATTGTTTCTATTCGAGCAGTCGTTTATTTCTTATTAACCAGTGGACAACATGAAAGTGTCGGTGCCTAGATACTCGACATGTTTGGTGTTTCAGATGTTATTTATGTGCTGTGATTTGTTATTTAATTGTTGGAGTCTCTTTCCTAAGAGTCGTGGTGGACTTCTTCTGTTGTTCTTGTATGTAAAGTTTTTCTTTTGTACTGTAATTTATTAACAAATGTTCTAGAAGTAAAAAAACTATAAATCTCGTTAGTTTTCAGGATTTGTGCCTTGTGTTGGCAATAACATCAATTTTGATACCATTATTCTCTACATATCTTTTTCAAGTAAGTGCTGTCTAGGCTGGATAGTAGATAATAATTTAGACTGAAACATTCACATTGCTTTTGTGTTTGTTAATTAATTAGTAATTTTTCTTTTGTTTGATGCAGGCTGGGTTAATGGAAGTTTTGATTCGTAAATTCAGAGTGGCCGGAATTGTGATTTTAGCATATTTTTTGCTATCCATTGCTTTGCAGTCCGCATGGATCATTGAAAAGTGGGATGATACAGAATCTGTCTCAACACCCCTTGTTATGGTTTTATTTACACTTCAAAGATGCAGTAAGTAATATTAATTTGTTATCACCATACTATTAATAATTGCATAAGTGTGGCAGTTAATTAGATTATTATAAATTATATTGATGTTTCAGTGGCACCCGGCTATTACTTCTTCTATAAGCGTGCTTCACTCATGGTAAGCGACCCACGCTTCTATGAGGACGTCGACTGGATCAACCAGAACAGGACTGAAAAGTAGACTCCAAAAACACGCCACAAAGTAACGCTAACGATGAAACATGATGTAATCATATTAACATTTATCAATTACTTTAATACTATAACTTAGCTGTAGAGGCTGCTCTCGTGCCAGGTGTTAAGAAAAACTCAAGACTGTTTACAATATTAGGCTCCAAACATGTAAAAGAATGTGTGAACATCATTTGTACGGAATCTTTAAGATATTTACTTTTAGGTAGTAGTCATATTTTATAATCATAGTATTTAAGTAGTAGTACTTAACCCACCTGTATCTCTAGGTCTATATTGATCTCATTAGTATTAATCAAATCCTTTTTAAGGAATATGATTGAACATTTTAATTCTAGTCTTGTAAGCTGATCTCAATGCTGTATTATTACTGTGTGAATAAATGTGTGTAAATGATATTGTTGGTTTTATTTATTGACATCACAGAATGCATAGTTTCAGGAGCACTAAAATCCCCAAAGCTTAACCAATTAATTTAACCTAACTTAACTAACCAATCAGCTCATATTTTAACTAATGAACACATTTTACTGAATAGGGAGAGTAATTGTGAGAGACATTTCTATCTTCATTATTTTATTTTAAAATTGTCAACAAAACAAAATTGTTTCAAAATTAAAAGTAGAAGATAACTCGTAGAAGGAATGCAGTGACGCAGCTAGAACACTGTTCTACACAGTGGACAGTTGGACTTCTTACTAGTTTTGAACCATTTGCGCTGGAAAACGAAATTGTAACACAATTATTAGGTATAACTCAAAGTTAAATACTGGAACAATGTTATATTGCCCGAGGCTATATTGCTACGAGGGCAGCATTGTCGTTAAAGTCCGACGGGCACTCACGAGACAGGCCGAGTGGAAGCGGTTGTTGCAGGTGTGGCAGGGCACGTTGGGCAGCCGCGCGGTGGTCGGGTGCAGGCGGCAGTAGCAGATGTAGCACTGCGCCGCGGCGTCCACGCGGCAGCGCAGGGCCTCGCTCCACAGGCGCAGCGCCGTCACGAGCCAGCCGTTCTGGTAAGCCAGGTACACGCGCACCCAGTGCAACTGCGAAGCGGCCGGCGAACGCTGCGGCGGCGCCTCGACGCGGGGCGGCTCCAGAGGGTGCGCGGCGCTCAGAGTCACCGTCACCTCCGCCCAGCGCTCCTCCACGCGCGCCCGCGCCCGCACCTCGCCCTGGCCGCCGGCGCGCGACACCGTCACCTCAACGTCCTCCAGGTCCTCCCGGGCGCGCTCCTTGAGGCGCCGCAGCTGCTCCTCGATCAGCGACGGCGCGACCGCGAGCGCGACGAGGCGCCGAAGAGCGTCGGCGCTCCGGGGACTCGACGCGCTCCAGTGGGCCCTCACGGCCGCCCCGGCGCTCCTCGCCGCGCACGTCACGACGCGGCAGGCCACGCGCCCCGCGGTCGTCCGCTCGTCGGCGTCGGCCGAGAGACCCGGGCCGGCGAGAGGAGGGTCCGAGGTGAAATAGTCGGCGACTCGGGGCGGCAGAGCTCCTCCGTCGGGGCCCGAGGCGCGCCTCGCCTCCGCCGGGAGCGCCCGCCCGGCCACGGTCAGGACGTCCCCGATCGTCTCGCTGTCCCTGCAACGAGACCTCGCACGTCATCGTCCGCTCGCGAGTCCGGTCGAAGTTCGCGCTTCCGTCGGCTCACCCGAGGCATTCCACGTAGTGGTGGACGAGATCTCGTCCCGCGAGATCGGCGTGGCGGAGGGCGGCCAGCGCCGTCAGGAGAAACCCGCGGGCGCCGCCCCACCACTCGGCCGGGGGCTCCTCGTCGGAACACCTGGAAAGTCGAGTTCGAGCTGCAGACGATCGACGATCGACTCGAGACGAGGAATCGATCGATCGACCTCACCCGTCGGCCGGCAACAGGTCGGGCGCGCGTCGCTTCAGAGCCGTCAAGTAGGGTTTGAGCGAGAGGGAGACCTTCACGTCCTCTTCGTCGCTCTCTCGCTCGCTGGCCGATTTCAACTTTGCCACTGAAAAATAATATTTTCACTGTCGGACCGTGGAACGCGAGAACGGTTTCGATGTGGACACGCGAAAGAGCATCACCGTCTTCGAGCACGAGCGGCTTGGCGAGAGTCGCGAGCGCGGCGTAGGCCAAGCGGTGGACCGGCGCCGACGAGTCGCGCGACAGCGCCTCGAGCGCGGTGCCGGTCAGCCTCACCAGCGACAGGTCGGCGTCTCGTCGCGCCGCCGGCGCCAGCTCCCAGCGGACGAAGGGAAGCGCCGCCGCCGCCGCGTCCGTCAGCGCCGCCTCGCCCGCCGACGGTCGGCCTCGGCCCGGCGCGACGGCGCGCTCGAGGATTCGAGCCTGCAGCGTCAGAACGTCGGTGTGGGCGGCCGGGGCGAAGATGTCCCGCCACTCGCCGGGCAGCGACGCGACGTGGGCGCTCGGCCGGCGGCGCTCGCTCTCGGCTCGGACGTTCTCCACGAATCCGGCCACGCTCGCGAAGAGCCCGAGGGCGGCTCGACCCGCCGCGGCCACTTTACTGCGAGGTAGGAGGTCGGAGGGCGTTCCGGCCAGAGAGGCGAGCGCCGAGCAGAGCGCGATGTTGGCGAAGTCCCAGGTGGCGGCGTCCAGTTCCCAGGCGTCGGCCTCCACCGCCTCGCGCAGCAGATCCAGCACGGCGATCTCGCAGCTCACGACGCTCCAGGGCACCTTCCAGTAGTCTCTGTGCGGACGAAGGTCGATCGAGTCTCGTCACTAGTCGGCCGAAGGACGAGGGACGAGGGGATCGGTCGATTGCGATACCTGTCGTTGAACATCTTGTCGCAGTACTTGTAGTAGTCGTCCATGAGGGGCTCGAGGCCGGACGACGCCAGCGCGGAGGCCAGCTTGCGCACGAACAGCTCTTTGCGCTCCGAGGCGGCGCGATCGGAGGCGAAGCCCTGCGCCAAGTACCAGCCTCGGATCGCCGCCAAGTACCGTCCTCGCACTCCGCCTTGAACCTAGGGAGTGGAGGATGTTTGACGATCGCACGAGATTAGACGAGTAAAAATATTTATTCAACACTGCCGTGTACAATAATCCTTGAAAAAGAAACATTGCCGAAGACTATCCGAAGGAAGTGTTTAGATTTCATTTGAATATTGGTCAACCGCTCGGACATGACATGAAAGCTGTCAGGATTTTACGGAATTAAAAATCAGAATATAATAATTTATATATTTCTCTGTTCACTACTTATGTGTTAGCGTACCCCTAGAAAGGGATTTGCAGTAGCAAAATGTACAAGCTTGACTATTCTCTTTCTCTCTCTTCTTAGTGGTGATTACCGAGAGTATAGCCAGTATTCTTTTGTTGTAGGTGAGAGGTACAAACAAAGAAAGAGACCAGACCGCATCTATCGAGCGGAACAAATTGTCAGCTAAGGCTAAGTGCCGTCTAAGCCGATTGCCCGTTCGCTACGAAACTCAACGCGACGGTCGGACTAAATAAGTTCTATAACTCAATAACTAGAAATATTTATAAGAAAAAGAGAGGCTCGGCTTCACGTATTGAACAATAGAAGACATTCAGCGTTCAAATGCCTTCGACCGAAAATTTGATTTCAATCGAGTCGCGTCTCCGTCCTCCGCGAGAAACTGGCGAGACTCGAGCGTCGAAGGCGGATTGCGGATGAGCTGCTTTTGCTGCTTTTGGGTAAAGTTGTCAATAATTTACGTCATTCGATGGATTTTGTTATGGGTTCTAGGACCGCTCGTCTACGGCTTCCCCTCCATAACCTTAAAGATGTACACGTTCGAAGAATACAACCGGAGACAGACCTGTATCACGTGGAAAAAGCCACTGCGAGTCACGATCTTGTCCAGCAAAAGCGGGTCTAAGACGGCCCCGTCGGAACCCGCGTCTCCGCCGGGCTCGTCCCGGACCCCCCTCGATCCCCTTCGTCCTCGTCCTGTCGAGGTACAGGACGCGGGCGAAGGCCCAGTAGTAGCCGGCGTCGAAGGCCCGTCGTGTCAAAGACTCCGCCAACACCTTCGCGTCCTCCTCCCGAAGCAGCGAGATCGCTTCGTCGATCGCGGCGTCCACCCGTTCCTTGCAGCGTTTCACGCTTTCGTAGAACGGGGCCTGAAAATAGAAATTCCGCTCACACCCACATCTTGCCCCCTTCCCTCGTGAGCGGGCGAGCGAGTCGGGGAGCGCCTCACGTGAACGTATCCCTCGCAGAAGGAGCCCAGTGAGGCCGCGCCGTGCAAGACTTCCGCGAACGCCTCTCGGATGTACTCTCCGGTCGGCGCCTCCGCCTGCACGCTCCGGCATCTCAGCATTTCGCGCAACAGACCCGAGCGAAAGACGAGCGCCCGAACGAACGGAACAACGTCCCGCGACTCGGGGTCCCTCCAGTCCTCCGTCTCCTCCCTTTCGACGATTTCCGAGAGACCTCGGGTTCGTTCGTCCCCGCCGGGACAGAACAGGCGGCCGGAGACGAAATCCGCGCGAAGGGCGAAGGCGTCCACCGTTCTCGTCGACCTCTCGACGTCCACGGCGAACAGACCCTTCGCCGTCTCCACGAGGTCGCCGGCCGCGAGCAGAGGCGGGCAGAGGGACACCCAGCGCTCTATTCGGGCCGCGTCGAGGTTCTCGTCTCTGAAACGAATTTGACATTTTATATTATTTTACTCTAAAAAAGTTTTTTATTATTATTATTTTTAAGCCTTTATTGCTGACACCAAGTATAATATATTAACACATATTTTAGTAACATAATAAAACTTAATTCTAATACATCACATGACCCGTTTTACGTTATCAGCGTGTCCTGTGAGGCCTCTTCCAGCCGCTTCCATTATTTTCTGATGTTAGCTCTTCTTGGCCAAGTTGTGCCTCCTATTCTCTTACTTTTAGCTACCATTGGGAAGTCTTTACTTTTAAGTACTTCCTTAAGGGACCAAAATCTCTTCTTTCTATCTCAAGATCTATTTGGTCATTAAATGATATTATTTGCCCAAGATATACGAAGTGATAGCATCTCCGTCTATTTGTATGGTAATAGTTTCTCTATTCGTCATTATTTTTGTTTTAGGTTTGGGTATTGTTCAGATATCATCATTTGAACATCGACAAACTGCTGACATGGATCCGGTGTGTGCTAAATATTAGCAGCTGAAGAGCAAATTTAATTCTATTTTATTTAAATATTGATCATCTGCTGACACGGTTCACGTGTGTTCCAAATTTTAATAGCTGAGGTTGCGCGATACACCAACAGCTCACTAGAAAAAATTTCATGTATGTGTGAATAGGTGTAATTAGTATTTAAGATGTTGTTTCATAACAATAAATTAGATTTGAATAGTGCTCTGTCTTGTTCATTTCTCGCTTCCTCTCAAAGTGGCGAAGACTAATTCAAGCCCTTAATTATCGTGGTGAGCCTGCCCGATAGCTTTGAGATAATCCCACCACCTCGAACCTCTGATCCTACCCGTAGGGCTCCGTCTGTTATCTTAGGTCTCTTGGTGCAGACATCACGTACTTATTTATATATTCACTATTCATGTGTTAGGGTACGTCTGTAGGGTTTAGGGATCCGTAGGGTTGTTAGGTTCTTACGTCTCACCGTCTCATATAGTTAGTCATCTAGTGCAGCTTGCTCATACACACATTACATATACTATTCAGATACTCCTGACATTGAATACACATAAATTTTAAACACACTTTTCACAGTCCACTAACTAGCAAGCTGTACAGTCATAAAAAACCCAACTATCTTGATTACTTCTGTCAGCTGTTGCATCATAGTTCGAAGCTTCTTTGCGTTATCTGAAATGAGCACTAAATCGTCTGCGAATCTTAGGTGGTTAAGTTGTCAGTGACATTATCCCATTCCAAATCTCCAAAATGGCTGAGAAGAGTTTTGGCGACAAAGGATCGCCCTGTCTCACACCCCTGGCTACAGGAAATTCTTTACCCGTTGTCTCTAGAGTCTAGTTTGATATAAGCCGAACTACTTGTATATAATATTTCTAATTATAGGTACGTAAAAATTATATTATGTATTTTTTTGGTATTCCTTTTTGTATTAAGGCTCTCCAGAGGTTTTTTAGAGTCGAATGCTTTACTGTAATCTACAAAAGCGATGTATAGAGCTTTTCCATATTCTTTGCACTTTTGTATTAGCTGTTTTATAACACGTAAGTGATCCACAGTTCCGAATCCAGCTCTGACTCCAGCTTGTTCGATGGGTTGTTGTTCGTCCATTGCCTTCGTTATTCTTCGCAGGATTATTTTGTCCGGTGATGTCCATGTCCACTTCTTCGGCGTATCTTTTTTTAATGAAACTGTTCATGAATGCTAAATTATTTTCGAAAGCCAGATTGAGCATTCGTTCTCCATTTTTGCTCCTTGGGCCAAATCCGAAGTTGCCTATGATGTTCTCTTCGCCGGGACGTCTGCATCCTATTCTTTCATTGAAATCACCCATAACTATGATATTTTGGAAGTATTTTGTAAAACTGTAGTTAATTGGTTGTGAAACTTATTTTTGATATGTTCTTCATGATTTTTAGCAGGTGCATAAATTTGTATAAACTCAAACTCAAAATATCTTTATTCAAGTGGGTAACCAAGTACACTTTTGAATCGTCTAGTTAAATTAATCGTAAATTTACATTTACTACCAAATTCAATATATAATTGTTTGAACTGGAGCAATTCAATCCCAAGGATTAGGATCATTTAAGTAGTCCTCAAATTTATAAAAAGCTTTGTTGATTAATTTTCGTTTAACGAGGGCTTTGAATTTATTTAGTGCTCTAATTTCGCTTGGGAGTTTGTTGTAAAAACGAATACAATTTCCATATAAGGAGTGGTTTATCTTTTGGAGCCTGGTTGGTCTTACACTCAAATTAGTTCAATTTCGCGTATTATACTGGTGAAAGTCACCATTTGTTTTAAAATCGTTTATATTTTTTTGGACATACAACAAGGCTTCAAGAATATATTGACCAGACAGTGTCATAATATTTAATTCCTTAAACTTATTCCGTACCGACTCCCTCGGAGAAACACAACAAATACCCCGAACAGCCGCTTCTGCAGCACAAATCGACCATTTGTCCTTGAAACTGGCAAGATTTATATTAAGAACTTGTAATGTTTTTGAAATTCTTGTCATCTCGTTGCTGAGCTGGAAGGGAGTGGTCGAAAGCCTCCACGGTGACCAGCTGGATTGGGGTGGTTAGTATATTTTTTGTTTCGTTGTTGCATGTGAGCGAAATATGTTGGTTCGAGCGGTCACAGGCGCATACTAGATTTTTTGTTGTTTCGGCGTTGTATTCGAACCACGGGCTTCATGTGTGTAAGCAGGTTAGGTTCTACTCGTTGGTTTTCATTTATGCCGAAAAATACTAAATTATTTTGTCTTTTCCATCTTCAAGGAATTTTACTTTGTCTTTTAGAACGCTGATCTCCGTTTTAAGTTGCTTATTTTCTTCAGTTAATTCTGCCAACTTCACGTTTATAGTGCTATCGACGGACTTTGTTACACTGTCTCTAACTATTTTCATAATAATAAAATAAAGTATAATAATTTATAATAATAATCAAAAAATATATAATGAATACTAAATAAAGTATTATTATTTTATCAATATTTTCTTCCCCACACTTCCGGCAAGGGACCGGGGGTGTCTACTCACGTGTTCACCAGCAAAGCGTGTAGGCGACGCCGCGCGTGCGCCGCGAGGCGAGGCCCGCAGAGGCTGCGCCAGCCTTCGCCCTCTTCTCCGCTCTCTTCGAGCTCGTCGCCCTCCGCGGGACCCCCGTCTCCGTCTCTGACGACCGTATCGAGGCTGCAGTCGAAGAGCAGCTCGGCGAGAGGAATCGCGACGGACGCGCGCTCGGTGCCGGCCAGGGTCCGGCAGACGTCGGCGGCGGCCCGACGGCGCACGGGCGGCTCGCTCAGCGCCCGCACCACCCCGGCGACGGCCTCCTCGCTCACGCGCACCTCTGCGGATCAGACGGAAACCGCGTCACGATCGCTTCGTTCGAAAGTCTCTCGCGGGGCCGATCGAAGGATAGGACGCGGGCGGGTCACCTCCGTCGCGAGGCTCGATGCAGTCCAGCACGAGTCGGTCCGCGTCGGGTCGTCGACGGCGACTCAGCGAGACCAGCGTCGCGGCCACGAGACGACCCCGCAGCCACTCGCCGGCCGCCCGTCGGCGCAGCTCCAGCGACGACGAGATGATCCACTCCACTACGACCGGCGACATCTGCCCGAACGCAATATACATTTTATGGCGATAGAACCCCGCGGCTCCGGACGGAGGGAGGCTGAAACCGTCCGTACCCCGTCGAAAGAGTCGTACGCGAGTTCCAGTTCACGGTCGGTGAAATGGGTCGCGGTGAGAAACAGCAGCTGCACGAGTGCGCGGCACCGCAGGGTCTCCCCGCGGAGCCAGTCGCGCCAGAGCCGCTCGTACAACGCGTAGGGGCCTCCGCCGACCTTCGCCCGTGCCACCTCGACGAACAACCTCTCGTCGCCCAGCCGGCGCAGCGCCGAAACCAGCGGCGGGAAGACGGCGCGGAGCTCCCTACTCTCCGCGCAGTCCAGCCACGCGCGGCAGCCGACGCTCAGGAGTTCGGTGACTCCGCGCGCGAAGCGCTCCGCGACCACCTCGTCCTCGGGGCCCGCGTCGCGTCTCTCGGGCGCCGGTTCGTCGTCGAAGCGCAACGCCTTCTCGCTCCTTCCGTCTCCGGCGCTCAACGACTCGAAGGCTATCGTGTGCAGGTTCAGCAGAGCGGCGACGTCGTCGTCGGACGTCGAGACGGCGTCTATCTGCGCGACGACGGTCGCTCCAAAGTTTTGCCAGAAGCATCTGATCAACTTGTCGCACTCGTCGTCTCCCGTCTCGGTCGATTGTCTCATCCAATATTTGACCAGAGAGGCCATTTTGCCGACCGAATACTTGATCAGATGCGGTCGGGCCGCGGGGTCCGGCGAGGCGAATATCTTCTGCAGCCACGTCCTGTGAGCCTCCGAAACCGTTTCCGTGACGTAGTCGTGTCTCTGAATGGAGAGAAACCTCAGGAAGTCCGCCACGCTCGTGATCCAAATTTGACGCTCGCTTTTGGAATTCAATATGCTCTTTAGTTCTAAACTGAAACAAAGTTCAAATCGTTACGACTACACATATTAGTTTTTATTTATAATTTAATATTAAAATAATTAAACTTCTTTAGGCGCACGTTTTCTTCTTTGTCGAAGAAAAGGGAGAGAGCAATTGAGACCGATTGAGAGAGAGTGAGAAAGGCTAATTACGTTATAGAAATTCTATTTTTAAAATTTCGTAAAGAGAATTTATGAAATATTAGTATTTTATATTTAATGCAAAATAATTTATTGAAATCTCAAATGACGAATTGTAAATTAAATGCTACGTGTTTTTTTTTTTTTTAATTATGGCTCTGGCACGATTTGTGCATTAGCCAGCGTCAAGTATAGGATTTTTATAATTCGTTCTTTTTGCCTTAGAAATTCGACCGTTTCCTCCATGTCCTCCAGGTTTAGGCACTCGCCCGGTACCGCACAACCCTCCCAAAGGCCGAGAACAAATTTAAATTAAAACTTGCCCTCGAACCGGGAATCGAACCCGGTACCCCTCACCTAGCTGCCACTTAATAAGACCGCTAGGCTATGAGGCCCCCAACCACGTGTTTTTATTATCGAAGCAATAAATTAATTATTAGTGGTTAGAGTCTGGCTAACGAAAGTAGATACTGGATTTTTTTGCAAATTTTTTATATGACAACACTAAAGTTAGTACGGTAAAATGTCTTGATATATTTTTATTTTAAATAAGTACATATATGTTTTAGTTACTTTAGATAATGTTATTGTTCTTTTACAGATAGTCTTGAGATTATTAGCCAACGGTTATGAATTTAAGAAAATCAAAAATGAACGTTCATTATTAGCATGGAGACATCGCTTTTTGCGTACCATTGCATCGAAACGTGCAGAAGGCAAGCCAATAATCTACTTAGATGAAACTTATGTCCACAAAACCTATAAGCCTAAAAAATGTTGGCAAGGTCCATCAACAAGTGGAATAATTGAAAATATATCGTCAGGAAAACGATATATTATTGTGCATGCAGGATCAGAGAAAGGCCCTATTCCAAAATCATTGTTAGTATTTAGCACCAAATCGAAAATGGCCGACTACCAACCACCATGACATGAATTCCACAAACTTCAACAAATGGCTTCAAGAAAAGCTTATTCCCAATTTGAATGAACCAAGTGTAATTTTAATGAACAATGCATCATACCATTCTGTCATAATAAATAAAGCGCCCACATCTCAAAATCGAAAGTTAGAGATACAGAATTGGCTTACATTGAATGGTATTTCATTTGAAACATACAATTCAAAAGCAGAGTTGCTTTGCTTAGTAAAACAGAACACACCAGAACCTATTTATGAAGCTAAATAGCAAAATTGCAAGCATTCACTAGTAAAATAAAAATGAATGTCAAAGTATCAAAGTGAGTTGTTCCAACTTTCCTTTTTACTTTAGGGCTGCCATGCTGATATTTTTTAAATTTGCCGCGCTTTTTCAGTATCAACTTTCATTAGCCAGACTAAGTATTAATTTTCGTCGCTTTTAATGTTTCAATGATAATTAAATTTATTAAATTCGTAACATATCTTCCTTTTTCCCTCCCTCTAAGTCTCGGAAGTCTAAAGTTTTAGATTTGTATAAATATGAACAAGAGTTAAAAATTCATTTGCCAAAGAAGTTCCACTTCTGACATGTGTAGGTACTTTGTACGCACGCACTTTTTTTTATTTATTCTAGTAGTTCCAGGAGGCAAACGGGCAGGATGTTCAGCTGAAGTTGAGTGATACCGTCGCCCATGGACATTCACATTGCCAGAAGGCTCGCTCGTTGCCGGCCTTTCAAGAATTGTCCTAGGTCGAATTGATTCGGTGTTAAGTCGAAATACTTCAGTGGGCAGCTGGTTCCACGTAATGGTGGAACGACGGATGAAAGAGTTTGTTTCATTTATTTTGAAATGATACGATGAATTGAGACTTTACTTTTTCAAAGAATAATACTAAATTGAAACGTCGCGAAAGAGTCGACGATGACCGTAGTCAATCTGATTATCACGATTGCGACTTTCGGGTTGTCGTCGGGGCGTCGCCCGGGGCGATCGATCCAACCGAACCGCGATTCACCCTCGCGCCGCGAGTTAAGCTCGAAAGGTTGAGCATTACCACACATTGAAAATATTATACGGAATTAATCCAGAAAAATGACGGCGCCCGGCGAAGATATGGAAATGGAGAAAATGGCAGAAGACGAGCTGGCCAAGCTGCGGAGACAGTTTCGCGTGATGGAGGTGGACCGCGGCGCCGTGGGCCGGAGCGCGCGACCCGCTCTGCGTCGCCAACGCGGACAGTTGCGCGCGCTGTCCGCCGACCTCGACCGCATCTGCGACCGGCTGCGACGGAGCAGAGGCGCCGGCGCCCTGCCTCGCGACGCGCGCTCCGAAGACCGCCTCCGGCTACTGCTAGCCGAGCGCGACGAGTGCGCGGCCCGCGTCAGGGAGTCGCGAGCCAACGTCGCCGAACTAGATTTTCTCTCGAAACAGGTGCAGAAAGAGATCAAGCGACTTCGGTCAAAGGGGACGGCGTCGGACGGCGAGAGCGGCGCGCTCGGCGATCGGATGATCGTCGCTCGCCTGGAGAACAGACTTGACACCGCGATGACCAAGTTCGACACCGTCAACGGTGAAAACTACCATATGCGTCTTCGCATAGACCGGCTCCTGCGCGACCGCCAGTTCTTCAACGGCCTCCGGAAGACTCGGATGCGGAGGCTGACGGAGGGCAAGGCGGAAATATTGGAGCTGGTCGAGCAGGCGATCGGGACGTACGATCAGCGCGAGGAGTGGTGTGCCAGGTTGGACGCCCTCGAGGAGAGAGCGGCCGTCGATCGCCGGAGACACCGGCTGGAAGTCCGGGAGCTTCGACGCCGACTCGACCACGGAGCGAAACTGGAGGAGTTCCTGCGCACCAAGGGCACCGTCAGGTTGACCGCGGCCGACGCCAAGGCCGAGGCGAAGAGGCTCGAGCGCCGGGAGATGGAGACGCGGACTCGCGACAACTACGTCGACATCCTCGACGCGCTCAAGGAGTACGCCGGGGAGACGGACGTCGACCGGCTGATGCAGGAGTTCACTCGGCGCGAAGAGGAGAACTACGCGCTCTTCAACTACATCAACGAAGTCAACAGCGAGCTGAAGAACCTGAGCGACAACGTGGAGACGCTCGAGGCCGGCGTCGCCGAGGAGCACGCTAAACGTCGGGCCGAGCTGTGCAAGCGACGGGACAGCGCCGGGGCGCTGCGCACGACCCTGCACGAGAAGAGGGGCGAGAGGGAGCGGCTGCGGGTCGCCTGCGACAAGACGCGGCGGGCGTCGGCCGAGCTGCTGGGCCGAGTGCGAAAGCTGGCCGCGGCGGCTCGCTGCGACGCCCTGCCGCTGCTCAAGCTCTTGGGTCGCTCCTCGGACGTGAACGAGAGCAACGCGCGGCTCTACATCGAGAGCCTCGAGAGGCGAGCGGCGGAATTTGCGGAGGCGCTGCGGCCGGAGGAGCGCCCGGCGGAGAGCAAGGAGCGCACGCCGCGCAGGCGCCGACGCCCGGAGCCCTCCCCGCGCCGGTAGCTCCCGCGACTCACCCGGTGAAAAGCGCCCTCGTCAGGTCGCGGTACAGCTCCTTCGACCGCATGTCCTCGGGCAACCGCGCCAACAGCGGCGGCAGGATGTCGCCGGCGAGGCTCGCGTCGCCCCAGGCGCCTGCGAAACACGAGTCGCATGAGAGGCGCCGAGGAGCCGAACGACTCGTTCCGCGATGAGGCATACCGTTCTCTATGGTGTCCAACAGTCTTTTGACGAGGAGATCCTTCTTCTGCACCCACTTCTGCCACTCCTGAAACAATATCGGTCACAGTCAAGTCAGTCAGTCACTCGCTCGGTCTATCGACATTTCCTGATCTTCCTGACTACCGACCTCCACGCGCAGCATCAGCAGAAGCGCGGCCCAGCGAACGGCCGCCACGTCGGGCCTCCTCTCGGGCTGCGCCAAGATGGCCGCGCTCAGCCGCCCGCCGATCGCTTCGCCCAGCCGCCCGCCCTCGCGCTCTATGAGGCGCCCCGCGGCTTCGAACCACGCCGCCCTGAACAAACTTCGTGTCGTCACCGAAGTCACGGAGGTGATTAAGCGACTCGTTAATTTCCGACATAGCAATATGATTAATGGCCGGAGGAGGAGAGGGAACTACTCGACAACAGTGTACGTTTGAAGTCACCTGACGTGATGGTCTTCGTGCGCGTGCAGCTTCCAGAAGGGGGCGGCCGACAGCAGCGGCTGCAGCGCGGCGTCCAGCGGAAGGTGCGGAGGGAGCGACCGCAGCAGAAGGCCGAGGGCGCCCAGACTGCCGGCCCTCACTCGCGCCGCCGCCGCCTGTCTCTCCTCCGGCGCCTCTATCCTGCGGACGAGGACACATTTATCGGGTTTATGTTTCGTTGACGTGTCCTATTCATTCATTACTCACTTCTTATTCAAAATTGCTTCAGGATTTCCGATGAGGTTGTCCAGGACGAGTGCCACTATCTCTGTCTTGCAAAACGCTATCGCTTCAGACAATTTTGCTCCCGGGAAAGTACTCTACGGACACATTAGAATTTTTATTTCATTGATTGTGGAATGAAAAAATAAAATGAATAGTACTGAATGAAGGATATTAATTTTCTTTTTCAATTCAAACATTTATGTTTAAATTATGTAGTAAATAAATTTGCTAAGAATTATTAGTATTATTATTATTAGTCATTAAATTGACTGAATTACGACAATTACCGTATAAAAGAGATATAATAGCAATGAAGAAATAGGAAATTAATGAAAAAATACAGAAGTAAGTTTTACATTGAGATGTGTGGAGGCAGTATGTCTCGAGGGTCCGTAATCATCGTGGACTGCCAGCAGCCACACGGGCAACAGTCGTCGTAAGTGCGGAGCGGCGCGGCGCCCGCTGCGGCTGAATATTGCTCCATTGCAAGCCTATTTGTTCCATTTACAGGTATCATTATCATTGAAATATTTAGTGATTGTTGACTGTATCTGGTTAATAATATTAAGTACACACCTCTAAATTTAAAATACATAATGCAAAGTAAATAATCTGGAAGACATTCTATTTGATTGTCAGCAAAAGATAGATTTTTTTTATGTTTCAGGAGGCCGATCACCTACTAATAGTAAAAATAGTCTGTATTATAAATATAAACATGTCTACTTGCAGTTCCAGGACTAAGAAATAACTAGTCCTAAATAATATAAACAAATAATACTTTAAGTGCGAGTAACTAATAAAACTCAACAATTGTACAATCTCAATATATACCTGTGTAAGTTCCCGAACTTTTCGATCATTATCAACAGTCAGCATCAAGTAAAAAACAGTCCAATTAGGAAGAGCAGCCACTACCTCCTCTATATCACTTTTATTAATCAACTCCAAAAGCTCTTGTAATGCCTATTTGAAACAAAATAAAATGATTACGAGAGATCCATCAATGGAATAAAACCAGTAATTATGGAATAATGTATATAAAAGAAACGAATAAAAGTCTGTGACTTATTAAAAGTATTCATTCGCTACGAGTTTAATATACTTATTAACAGAAAAAAAAATTATAAAATAAATATAATTCAAAATTATTGTTGATAAATAGACTTCACAACCAGATTCTTTTGCGAACTAGCGAACTGTGGAATCGACTCCCGGTCTTCCCAGAGGTGGTCATGCCTCAGAGTTTCCTTCCAAATGTTCGAAAAATCGATTATACTCCTCCCTCAAAGGCCGGCAACTCACCCTCTAAAAATGGGTGTCTATGGGCTGCAACTACGACTGCCCTTTCTGGCCGTCCCACAGGCTCGTTTGCCCCCCTTTTATATATTTATATATTCATTTACCTTTATTCTGGTTATAGGATCTTTTTTGTTAAGTTTTTTAAAGGCTAGTATAAACTCATTAGATAAGATATTGTCAGTTATAGGTGTCATCGTTGGAAACAGAGCAGGCACCATTTTTCCAGTGCTTAATGCTCCAAATGTAGAGTCTGTATTTATAACATTATTTAGCAATTCTGCACTGCGCCCACTACTTGATGGCTAAAATATAGAACACAATGTTAATTAGTATATTAGTCATCTGTAAGTAGATATCAATATTTATTTACAGTATTGTTAGTACTTACTCTGGCATTATTTTTAGTTCTTTGACTTTGTTTTGATTTTCCACCCATGTTTAGTAGAAAACAAGGGCTTGAATGCAAAATTTCTGGTGAACGTCTTAACTATAATGAAATATCGATAATTGATATGTTCTCGTAACTAAATTTTTTGGTTACTTGAATACAATTCCTGACAGATATTTCGACATCACATAACAGATATTTGATTTCGTGTTGTAATTTCAAATTTCAATCATATCATATCTTATTACATACGAAAAGTTATTTTGATTTTTGACTGACAAATGACACATACGTCATACAGTCATACATCCGTCAGTCAGTCATCAGGTTTTTTTGGAGTTTATGGCCTGGTATCTAGACCTTTAGGCCATCAGTCCCCTGGGTTTATGGCCTGGACATCGAAGAATGTCATTTCCATACAAATTTAGTTTTCGACTTTCTACATACACTACTGTTAAGGCATCTTGACTAAGGCCCCTGAGCTGAGATCAGGTGTTGCCATCAATAGGTGAAATGGATGGCAGTGAAATACTTTTTAATTCATAAATTTTTATTATATCCCAATTTAGAAAAAAACTCAAATAAAAAGAATATGTAATTAAGGACAGTAAGTATATATAATATTTTATTATCAGCTAAAAAAATATTATAAATAGTTTTGTTTCGTTACACACTTTCTATTGTATTGCGAATTGTAGCGAATAGTACGAGATCCGGATGCAGGATTAGTTAAAAATGTTTTCCCAAAAATGAATTCAAAATAATTTCATTAAAAATACTAGCGGCCAAATTTTGATAGGCAACTTGGTTGATATACATTCTCCTAATTATAAATATATCTAAAAATTAGTTTTTTTTAGCAAATAACCGATGAGCGCACTAATCCTGCAGCCGGATCTCAGACCATAAGGCAGTTTATCCACTGCTCCGGTCCGGCAAACGTTAATTACCGATCCGATTTAGAAACTCACAACAGTACTTACGTACTTCTCCACTACTCCGGCATCCGGTTTTTAACGATCCGATAACTTGCTAGATCGGAACGCGGTGTTTTATCGGTCCAAGTATCCAAGAGGTTATAAATGATTATTCACAGGTTTATCGTGTTATACGTGTCGTCGACGTTTCAAATCGCTCTTCGTTGAATACGGTCAAGCGGAAGGACCTGGTCCTGGAAACTCCCGCCCAGAGGTGAGAACAGTACTCCATGTGGGGCAGATTTAGCGCTTAATAGAGTTGCAGGCGGTGGCCCGGGGTGAAGTACTCGCCTTGCTGAGCTCACCAAGCTTCTTAGATGCTAATTCAGCCTTTCCTTTCAAATGACCGCTATTTATATTCGATGCTAGATGAGGCTTTAAGGAGAGTGTCAGCGAAGAGAGGAGTAGCGACAAAGGGTGTTTTTTTTTAGCCGAAAACCCGCAAACTTGTGTCTTCATGGGGTTAAATTGGACTAGATTTAGTCTACCCCAGTCCGAAACTCCACGTAGCAGAGTTTTGACATCAGACAAAAGTTTGTTCCGGTACTCATCGACAACTGCCCGAGAAACACCTGCCAGTATGAGTATAAGGAGTATTGATTTTAACGGAGGAAGAGAATCTCTGAGGTTAGAAAAATATTAAGTAATAATCCCTCTCACTCGTTAGATGAGGCCTGTGCCCTGCAGTGGGATGATATATCTGATATCTCATATCAGATATGATATATAGACTGATGATGAATGACTATACGTTTGGGTATATAACATGTTAAATGTTATTATTTTTTACAGACTTATACTTAAGGAGATTGGTTTTGAATATGTTAAATGCACAGAGTTTCGACGTGTTTCATGGTGCTCTGGGCTCGGCCAAGTAGCCGTAGGCTAAGCCACAGTACCGATAACTCAATTCTTGATTTAAATAGTTCAGCGACCTCACCGTTTTGATATTTTTCAAACCTTCTCCCTTTCTTCCCCCAAGCACCCTCCTTTTCGTTTTTTTATTAAATGTTTCCTAATTCACTTTTATAAACATAAGTTATTTTTTTTGTTTTTAGATTGTGTCAAGGATTTTTTTTAATTTCGGAAGGTGCAAAGTGAATATATGAATTTTAATTCATGTTTAAATTAATTTGGTTTGTTTCATGTTTTTCAAAATTTAAGCTACAAATAATCTATTTTGAAATTGCATTCGCGATTTTTTTTCTTCTTTGATTTTTTATTTGACCTCCCTTCAATCCATATTTTGTTACCCTAAAAAAATAAAATATCTGTTTTGATAAATAAAGAGTGAAATAGGTGACTAAGTTGATAAAGTCCAAGGAATAAAAACAATAGAAAAACGTGACTAGTCCTATTAGAGTTTGATTTAAGCTTTAATTAGGTTTGGTGTTTGTGCTTGAACATTTTTAATGTCAATTTGAAACAGATTTATATATAAGTGTAGATTTTATTAGTGATTTGCTACTATTGAATTTTTTTCAAAAATTTCAGTTTAAGTTAGAGTCATAAAAGTTGATTGTTTTAATATATTTTCTTTTAAAAGGAGAATTGAAACAAGTACTAATGAAATGAAAAGAATTAATAAAAATTTAAAATGAAACTTATTGTTAAATTTAACCCTTTCTTTGATTCCATATTGATGCTCCAACTCTTAGATATAATAGATATAAATTTAAGTTTGATGCTGATTTTAAGTTAATATTTATGTCAATTAACTTTTGGTTATATCAGTGATTTGCTGCTAGTTAATATGTAAATGAAAAATCTGTTTAAGTAAGAAATGAATAAACATTGTAGTTTGTTTTGTCAGTTTTATTTTTGGTAATTTACCTATGTCTTCTTTAGTAGGAAAAGCCATTAAAGTGTTCACAATATTAGTTTATTTTACAATTCAGATAATCATATATAATTACCCATACCTACTAATGTTAGGAATATTAAACACAGTCAAAATAAAAATGTTTCAGTTATGGTTATTTTTTATTAAAATGCCCTTCTCCTTACTATCTCTCATAGAAAATGCATTTCACTTTTACTCCTTCCTACACCCATCCCAAATTAAATCTTCTACCTATATGTTTCATATATGTAGATAATTAACTAATGTAAGTTTAATTTTAAATCTCAATTCTTTTTTGTGTGTTATTACAAAAAAACTAACGTGTTTGATATTTCATAAATTCTATGTACCTCGTTACTGAATACATCCTGCGATTAAAAAATTAGCTTCTCTTTTTCTGAAAAGAAAATATTTTTTAGTACTTATCAATAAAACACTACTTGCCGGTCGGTTTTTCATAGGTAACTTTATTTAAACTCTTTACTTAAAAATTACTTATTTGTACTTCTTTATTGTCATTAAAGTTTATCCCCATCCAACTATTCACTTCTATTTTAATATTATGATAAACTTCTCTAGTATATTAACTTAGTAAATAATTAAAGAAAATATCTCTTCCATTACTTAGTATTGCTCACTAAATTTTATATTTGCAAAGTTCATGAAGTATAAATCCCTTTATTTGATTAATTTAAATCATATTTTCATTACTTCTTTTTTACAATAAAATATATTTGAACTTCTTTTTTCATTAGTATCTTTCTCTCTGAAATATACAAATAAAATGTCAATCATTTTACTTTTGATTACATAATATAAGCAATATTAAATGGTATAATATGTATTTTTCAAATTAAAAACAATTTCTACTTACTGCAATATAAATTCAATAAAATATCCAATTTAACAGGATTTCCTCTACTAATTTCTGATTTTCTTGATATTTTCATTTTTATCTGTGTCTATTATGTTATCCTCCTTATTCATAAAAAACTAAAACTCTTAACTTAAATATTTAACTCTAGTTTAAATTATTATAATTACACAGAACGTTAAAAGCATAACAAATTCTTTCTTAAAACTTTCAAAATATGACATGTTTTTAAATCGACCTCTTTGTACTAATTATCAAACCACTTTTGAGATCACTTAAAACATGGCGGAGAAACCTTTCTACACTCCGAAACATTAATTGGCCGTTGGCTACCATAGCGTAAGCTAATTTTTTTTCGTACACTGTCATGGCGTCGCTTATTGTATCCCGACTCACCCTTTAGAGCCTAGGCCATTCGACACGAGCTGTCATTTTCATACAAATTTAGTTTTCGACTTTCTACATACACTCTTTGCCATCTTGGCTAGACCCCAGGGACCTCACCGTTTTGATATTTTTGTATAGATATATCTACGTTGCTGTGCCTAGGGTACCAGTTGTTTGTTGTCCCACTTTTCTGTTCCTCCTACCGTGTGCCCACCCCATTTCTATTTACGTTATTTATTTTCATTATGACATCTTCTACCTTAAATATTCTTTTATCCCCTTTCAGGCATCGTTTGATGATATACATCCCATATGTAGGTATACGGCTGCAGCAAACGACATTCATCGAGTGGTTAATTGGAAGACGAGAAACAAATTGAACTTCAAATTTGTCAAAATGCAAAGTTATAGGAAAACTCTTAATTCTTTCACTCTTAACATCCACTAGGAAAGGAGGTAAAATTCCCAATATAAACTGTTAGGGAATGCGGAAAGTTTTTATTTTTATATAGGTAAATAAAATAAGTACATTTTGTGATGAATCGTCAATATATATTAATATATCATTATATTTTTAATATTCATAAATTCAATATACATTGTAATAATATCAAGTAATATGAATTTTACACTATAATTTATATCAGCAATATTTTAACACTTGTTAATCTATTTGTAAGTTTAACAATTTCGACATAGCTCGGTGTAACAGGCGCTCCGCGATGCCCTTCTCAACAAACACAATAGGCATATGCGATGCAGGAGTTCCCGTTATAACATTATTCTTATTCTATATAAAAGAAATACTCCTAAGTACTCCTCTGCAATATTATATTTCAACAGAATATAGGTACATATTAACTTTTCTTATACACAATGCACGAATGTTCCACAATAAAAATAAACGTATTTTCTTAATTAACGTCTAGTTATTATAGGTAGGTATTAGTTGTTTGCTAATCTACATCTAACGACGACGGTTTTATGTACAGGTGCCCGCGCCTTATAAGAGTTAATTTATCTTTGGTTTCTCTAGCCCACCATGTCGGTTTCGACTTAGCATTAAACATATAACCTCAAATAAGTATATCTACCACCTACTCTTAAACGTTTGCCGTGAGGCGTCACGATAATTATCACGATAAATAATAGTTATTATATTAAATAAGAACAACGTTTAATATCTACGTAATTTAAAATGCAATATTCAGTCACGCGTATAATAGGTGTTTTTTCCTTTCGGTCGCTGCGGTGGCGAATCGAGTTGTTAATTACTGAGCGGGTACCCTGTAACTCTCAATAGTTTTCTGCCTACATTAATCTTTAGCTTTTGTACCCCGCACTGCCAAGCTTGCGACATCAGCGCTCCGCTTGTCGCGAGATACAAAAACTTAGTATTGAATTCGGTATCTCTATTGAAAGTTACAGATGGCTGAAAATCTTTATTTTAATGATAAAGTACAAGTTGTAAAAATTACAATTATTCGTTGCTTGGAAACCTTTCACAATGCTAAGTTGGCTTACTTAGGTAATTACTCCTAATAATCTAGTCCTTATCCTGAAATAAGCTTAGGAACTTTGTGTTCTTGTAATATTTGGGTAACGCACATTTTAAAAATTCAATCAAGGTTAGAAATTTCGAAAGTGCCTTCTGCAATTAGTGGTTTATGGAAAGTGTGACGATTCTGTTGAGAAAACTAGTATTCGAAAAAATGCTTCAAGAGACATTAAATACTATCTAATTCTTATACATAAAATTAAGCTATCAACGATTTATACATAGATTTCCTACCCATAGTAGTTTAAGCAGACCTTAAATATTAAGCATTTATTACTTATTGCATCCAATAAATGGTTGTTCATTATTTATTGTCATAATATTCATTGTATTCGTGCGCTATTTTACGTCACACTTCTAACTAAGTGAAGGTATAGGTTAAGCAGAAAACTATTTGGGAAGATTGTTACCCTTCGTACGCGGGGCACATTCATACAGTCGAAATAAAACTTGAACGAAACAAAGTACAGTCTTGTTTTTTGTATGTGTGCATGAGTCGAGGTACGAACTATACATAATCGAAGTTTCGCGAAATTCGCACCGATGAGAATGAAGTTACAGGCATGGACGTGTTTTCGCGCTCGGTAAGTAATTTTTTGATCAATGTTTTTGTCTCTTGTTACCGTAGATAAAATAAGTTTTCGTGTAGAGTATTCTATCAGTAACTAGCAAAATATACTTAGATACGTCTCCAATACTTAATTTATGACGTTTTCCTTATTAATATTAAAATAAGTTATATTTTGTTGTTATTCAGTTAGTGGGGTACTTTCGGACAGCACTAGATGGGGCACATTTGAACGAATTGTACAACTAAATTTGTATGAAAATATTTTGTCGACACGAACTGTCGTTTTCATACAAATTAAGTTTTCGACTTGCTACATACAAATAATAATAAGGCATCTTGACTAAACCCTCTGGTAGGTAGGAAAGATTGTGTTAGTGTGCTAATTGCTCTAATATTTGCATTAACTTTGTCCTGTGTTGCTATCATTGCTATCGTCGATGTATATTAATACCTATTTTTATTATCTTTATTAAGGTTGATTTTGATGCCTGTGAACCAGATGCTTTGAATAATTTACCAATCCATCAAATAGTAGTTCCTTCAAGTCAGTTTTGACACCTTAAGGGTTTCGACTCTATACGCATGTTGTAAGAAGTAATAAAACAAACAAATGACGACGGCCAGAACCACAATTTATACTGCCACACCCGAAAATAAGAAGTGCTAATCCGCACCAAAGATTAAAGAATGTGATTCTAAATTTAAGATACCTAACTAATTAAATTTTGGTTTTCTTAAGAAAAGCTATGTAATTTTTGTTCACTATAATTAAAGTATTTTATTTTTGTTTTATTAGAAAGTTAAATCTTTATTTTTGTGTTTAATTTCATTGCTAATAAATGAATTTTTGATTTATATGTGTCGTTTTAATCGCACGTACGGAACTACCCCACAGCGTACGAAGGTACCCTCAACACTGTACGAAGGTGCCCCGTTGATGGGGTAGATTCGTACGTTTTCCAGATTTAGTTTAAATCATAATTATGGATTGAACCATCAGATGAAATCATTTGTCATTTTCTTATATGAATCTCAGATAGTTAGACTATAAATTTAAGCTTGCATGATTGATTCATGGAAAAATAAAATAATAAAAAATAAAATGTGAAACCACGAAGGGTCCGACCTTCCCCTACATGAAAGCTACAAATTTGTTAAAATCTATTTTTTTGATAGTCCTAGCATATTCTTGAATAAAAGGAAGTAACATATAAACATGGTAGAGATCCCATCCAAGTCGCTATGCTGGAATGCTTTAGTTTTAGCTAATTAAAAATTCCCGAGACGTTCATATTTACTTAAAGCAATATTAATTATAATGTACATATTATTTTACATTGACTATGCCAAATGGACATCGGGCACTTTAAGTTTGTCTATAATTTAGTAAAAAGATAAAATTCAACAAAAAATCTTTCACGTCGAATACTAAACATTTATAATTACCAAGTTGGTGTATTATATACTTAGGTAACACTTTGAAATCCTTATTTCAGATAGTTTGAGATAACCGATTCAGTATTCTGGGACGCTTTTGGCACGTTCATTACATTTAAAAGAAACTATATGGCATTGAGCAAATACTTATTTACAATATCACCTAATTAATATATCTGCAAAGTAAAATAAAATAGGAAGATACTATTCTGGTAAGTAAACTTTGATCCTAAATCTATGGCACTTCTTTACATTATCTTTGGTTAGTCCTTTGGCACAAGCTCATGTTATCACACCGTTAAGTGTGACCGTCTTTGGTGGATTCATACACGGAATGTAATATAAAGCCGCCGGCAACTTATCAAGGCTAACTCGAAACTCTAAAAATATGTTTTGATTAGTCTCGATAAGGTTTGCAAATGGCGAATCGATGGTTCATGTGCTGACTGTAGGAGCCGGAGTGGGAGAACTTCTTGAGGCACTTGCAGCACTGAAACGGCTTCTCCCCGGTGTGCAGCCTCTTGTGCTCCGTCAGATGGTGCTTGTGCTTAAATGCTTTCGGGCACTCGGCACATTTATATGGCCGCTGACCTGAAAAAATAAACTTGTGCTTATATCGTTGAATAGAAACTAACTCTAACAAATGTAATATTGATATTATATCTGACTACACAGTCCGAAAAAACTACATATACAGTTACCTACTGCCTTTAGAGTTAAATATTCAAGCAGGATTTTTATGTGTAATAAATCCCATAACTTCTATTTCCCGTTTAAACCGTTTTTTTTAAAGTTTTCATTGACATATTTTTCCACCACTTTGAAAGTGTCTACTTTTCAAACTGTGAAGACTGATAAGGGATCTCAATGTCAAATAGACTCAGCAGACCTTAGACGCGTACGTACTCGTATTCGTATGTATGAGTAGATATATATATTTTTATTTTTGTATAAATATCGTGAAGGGCTTTAATTAGGACTACACAATAATAGTTACGCAATAAAATGACCGACATACGGAAGGGCTGAAACAGACATTGTGAATCAATAAAGCTTTCGTAGTTTGCTAAATAAACACAGAAAAAATAATCACCTGAGTGTTCATATTTGTGTCGAGCTAATGAACTTTGCTTGACGAAGGTCTTGTCACACTGATCACAGACAAACTGTCCTTCTCCTTCTTTAATATCATTTCCCTTTAACTTGCTTTTCTTGAGTAAATTGGATTCATCATCAAAGTCATGATGGGCTTGGACCTCTTCAGTCCAAGTGGAACGTTCGTACGAGGGGCTTGCACTCTGTCGATGGTCTGTCATTATATGCATGTTCAACATGGACGGCCGGCCATTAGCAATATCATTGTACTGGAGAAGTTTATCCATTGGTATTAAAGGATTTACTGCCACTTTATGCAAAGGTCGTTTTTGGGCAGTAATAGTTTCTCCCGGAGACGGTGACAATCTGAAGTCGGTGTGAGAGGAGGATGAGCAATTGGAATGTGGGTAAGGGTTAACGTAAGCGGTGCGGTATGGTGTTGTACTCCTGGAAGATTTTTGGCTCAAATTAACCGCTTCTTCGGAGTCCGAATGTGTTACCGAAATACTACATGGAGGGGACGGTGACGGACTAGAAGTGACGGAAATATTTGATTTCCTGGTTGACAAATCAAGGGGTTGATCTGAAGGAGTTGCTGTTAAACTCATTCGCCTTTCTCTCGCTCGAAAATTTTGAAACCATACTTGCACAACTCTATTGTCCAGACCTATTTTGTTAGCAATTTTCTTACACTGATCTCTGTTTGGTCGCTTATTAAAGGCATAGTGTGCTCTTAGAATTATCTGTTGTTCCTCATTTAATGCCGTCCTTACTCTTATTTTTCTGTCATTGTCATGAACAGACTTATCATCGCGGTCGTCCTTTCCAAACTCTTCGTCTTCGCTAGCACTAATACCACTCTGCATCGATGTTCTAATTTCTGCTTCTAACCTATTTAATGCTACGGTTTCGGCAACTTGCGCAGCCAACCCCTCATGTTTTCGAAAAACGTTTCCACACAGTAACTTCTCATGCTCTATTAAATCATTCTTGTTTTCAAATGTCAAGTTACATTTACTACAATTCTGACTGTCGTTAGGTTCATCTTTGACGACAATGTTTCGTGTCAGCGGTTTGTCTATGCTCGGACAAACATTGCCAGAAATAGGTGATAATGTTTCCAAATTAGCTCTAAAATAATTTTTATTAACCGAATCTAATATTAAATTATATCCATTATTATTGTCAATTGAAGGGCCGTTGTTATTTGAAGGGACGGAGTCATAATTGCGAAATGGTATTCTTAGATCATGATCTTCGTTTTCGTGTTCCTTTTTTACCGCAACAGCTTCATCTTCTTCAATATCCATAACAAGTTCTGCGCTGCCTTCTGAATGTTTATCGTCTTCTTCGGGAATTTCTTCAATGAGATCTTCTACGTTATGTGAAGAGTGACTCATCTGTTTTGGATCAGGACTCTCTATTTTCCGTTGTTGATACTGCTGTGTAGCTAGTTGTTGGAACAATTGGCTTAATGACGCAGGAAAACTGTAGGGAGTCATTCCTGACTCGGGGCTCATTGGTATTCCGGGTGGCATGTAGAAGGGATTTAATCCTGGTTGAGCTAGAGGCGGTCTGTGATAGTTTGGATCCTGTGAAGACATCGATGCAAAAAATGCTTCGTTGTACTTTGGCAATATTGGTAAGAATCCGTTTGGCGCCATGTTATGTTTTAATTGAGACGCGACCAATGCATTTGCACGTTTTCTCGACGGGCTTCGGTCAGGATTCAGTGCGGGGTTATTCGGTTTAATTCTTCCCATTTTCAAATTCATGACTAGACATTTCTTAGATGTCATGTGTGAAGAGTAAGAGCCGGAATGAGAAAACTTTTTTCCACAATTGGCACATTCGAAAGGTTTCTCTCCGCTATGTATCCTCAAGTGTTCTTTGAGATGATGCTTGAACTTAAAGGCCTTGTCACAGTCATTGCACTTGAACTTGCGTAGGTTGGCGCTTTCGTCGTGACTCAGCATGTGCCGTTGGAGCCGATACACGTTAGCGAAACTCTTGTGGCAGATCTTGCAGGTCTGTAATAAAAGTGAATTTTATTTTTAAATTTCATAACAATATTCAACATTTAATAATTCCTAATTTAGGCTGAAAATGGTAATGAACAAAAAATACTGGTATTATTGTGAAAAAGCGTGGGTTGCTCGATAGACAAAAAATATGGACAGAGCGCGCCACGCTTTTTCACAATAATACCAGTATTTTTTGATCATTACCATTTTCAGCCTAAATTAGGAATTATTTTTCACTTTTTAGTTTGATGTGCTTTTTTAGTTTTTTTAAACTATATTTATTTTCCACTTTTTAGTCCTAGCAGCAATACGTGTTGTCTCAATTTAATCGTATTGCTTTGTGGACTTAAAAAAAATTTCATTGTTTTTTCGAGATAAACCTATGAAATTATTATATTGTCGCTGATTCTTTATAAGTGTACAAAGTTTGAATTAAATCTGTCCGTTTAATGTGGGTCAAAATCGAGTCCGAAGGAGTCGGTTACATCATACATACATACAGGTGAAGCTAATATAAAGCGTGTAAAAATAAAGGTTGATAAATATGTAGTTGTCATGGCACTATTTTACTTGCTAGTACCTTATAGAAAATGAAATATGTAAAAGTTTACGTTAATTTTTGTTATTGCTTGTTGGCACTGAATATCAAGTTCACAAACGAGTATTACATTTATGGCATTCCATTGAGTTTATGACAACAGACTCATTAGATTTGAGTCCCCCAAATGATTATGTATTTGTATTAAGAATAATCGAATATAAATTAGATATAAATTGTTTTCCCTTAGCATATAAAACTCTAGAAACTGAAGGAGTTACCTACTCGCCGCGGAAACATCGATTTACGCAAGCTCCGTAAACAAAAATTCGAAATAGCCGTCAAAAGTGTTTAAATGTAGCAAAATCATATATCAAAATACGCGAAAAAATACAGTGAATACAGTGGTGTTAAAAGACTTATAATTTGATATACCATTTGGAATATAAATTAACAACGAACGCCTGAAATCCTCACCTCACTCTACTGATCGTGCTTGCACTGTGGTGGGTCAAGACAAGTCGTAACATATTAAAGGGTTAAAGTTATGGATCAATCACCCCTCATACAATGCTCGAAGTGCCTAGGATACGGGCATGGTAGGCGATTATGTACAGCAGAAGAAGAAAACTGTTCACACTGTGGTGGGCCTCATAAAAAGATCGAATGCCCGGAATATATGGCTGGGGGGATCCCATCCTGCAATAACTGTAAACGTGCGAACCTGGAAAATACAGATCATAACAGCTTTGACTCTGAGTGCCCTACGAGGAAAAGATGGGACTTATTGCCAAGGGCCTCAGTAGCATTTTGCTAAGGTTGCCTTAGTTAATCCAACAGATAAAAACTCGAAATCATACTTAATAGTTCAAGCAAACCTACAGAAGAAGAATTTGGCCACTAACGAAATTATAATGGAATCACAGAAGAAAGGTATAGCAATTGCGTTACTACAAGAGCCATACAACGGCGCCAGAGGTAGGGTGAGGCAGTATAGGCGGTGCTTTGGTAGACTCTAAGTCTACCAAAGCACCGCAAAAAATGAGGGGGTTGTAAAAGCTGCCATAGCAGTGTTTGACACGACCAGATGAACAGTACCCCGAACTGACACAAATAATATTGTGGGGGTAAAAATTTACACAGGTGCATGGGAAATGGTAGCCGTCTCTTACTACTTTGAACCTTACCCCAAACCGTTGGTGCCATACCTAGACCAACTAGTTAAAATCAAAGGCAAATTTAAACGCAACTTAATTTTTGGAGGAGATGCAAACGCAAAAAGCATCTGGTGGGGCAGCTCAGTAATTGACGAAAGGGGAGATATGGCTGCAACACTGGAGCAATTAGATATGCAAATTTTAAATCAGGAGGACACCCCCACATATGATACCAAACGAGCCAATAAAGAATATACCAGTTTTATAGACGTAACGGCTTGCACATTAGATATGTTACAAAAAGTTGAAAATTGGCATGTAAATCAAGACTTAATCAGCTCTGACCACAATGCTATTACCTTTACAATAAAACAGAAAATAACAAAGAATAACACAGAATTAAAAACAACAAGGATATATTATACTTAAAAAAGCTAACTGGACTAATTTTCTGGAGAAAATCGGTCAGTCAGTTTTGGAAAATAAAATAAACGAACAAAACATAGATAATATAACCGATAAAACAGAGTTAGAAGACATTATAGCAACATATAGAGGGGGCCAAAGTTCGTGGAATGAAAGGGTTTTTATAAAAAAAAAACCAAAAATTTTTTTTTTCTCCTTTTCAATACCCCCCCCCTTAAGCCTTTTTTTTTTTTTTCCCCTAATTTTTTTTTTCCTCCCCCCCCCAAAAATTTTTTTTTTTTCTCCTCCCCCCAAAAGACCACCCCCTCCCCCCCTCCCTCCTTTTTGTTTGATTTTTTCCCCCCCTTTTTTTTTTTTTTTTTTTGGGGAAAAAAAAGGACCCTGGGGGGGGGGGGGGGGGGGGGGGGGGGGGGGGGGGGGGGGGGGGGGGGGGGGGGGGGGGGGGGGGGGGGGCCCCCCGCCTTTTGTGGGGGGGGGGGGGGGCCCCCCCCCCCCCCCCCCCCCCCCCCCCCCCCCCCCCCCCCTCTTTTTTTTTTTTTTTTTTTTTTTTTTTTTTTTTTTTTTTTTTTTTTTTTTTTTTTTTTCCCCCCCCCCCCCCCCTCCTTCTTTCCTCCCCCCCCCCCCCCCCCCCCCCCCCCCCCCCCCCCCCCCCCCCCCCCCCCCCCCCCCCCCCCCCCCCCTCCTGTCTCTTTTTTCTCCCCCCCTTTTCCCCTCTTTCTCTCTTTTTTTTTTTTTCTTCTCCCCCCCCTCCCCCCCCCCCCCCCCCCCCCCCCCCCCCCCCCCCCCCCCCCCCCCCCCCCCCCCCCCCCCCCCCCCCCCCCCCCCCCCCCCCCCCCCCCCCCCCCCTCCTTTCTCCCCCTCCCCCCCCCCCCCCCCCCCCCCCCCCCCCCCCCCCCCCCCCCCCCCCCCCCTCTCTTTTTTTTTTTTTCTTTTTTTTCTTTTTCCCCCCCCCCCCCCCCCCCCCCCCCCCCCCCCCCCCCCCCCCCCCCCCCCCCCCCCCCCCCCCCCCCCCCCCCCCCCCCCCCCCCCTCCCCCCCCCCCCCCCCCCCCCCCCCCCCCCCCCCCCCCCCCCCCCCCCCCCCCCCCCCCCCCCCCCCCCCCCCCCCCCCCCCCCCCCCCCCCCCCCCCCCCCCCCCCCCCCCCCCCCCCCCCCCCCCCCCCCCCCCCCCCCCCTCCCCTCCCCCCCTTTTTTTTTTTTTTTTTTTTTTTCTCTTTTCCCCCCCCCCCCCCCCCCCCCCCTCCCCCTTTTTTTTTTTTTTTTTTTTTTTTTTTTTTTTTTTTTTTTTTTTTTTTTTTTTTTTTTTCTTTTTTTTTTTTTTTTTTTTTTTTTCCTCCCCCCCCCCCCCCCCCCCCCCCCCCCCCCCCCCCCCCCCCCCCCCCCCCCCCCCCCCCCCCCCCCCCTCTATTATATTATAATAGAAACCAGTAATGCATGAGATGTAATTCATATTATTTATACAGCAGTCATCGAGCCCATAATCCTATATGCGGCAGCAGTCTGGGCTCCAGCCACTAAAAAGCGAGGAATTAGGAAGCAATTAAATTCAGTACAACGAGGCTTCGCGCTGAAGCTCTGCAGAGCTTACCGAACCGTATCACTGAATGCCAGCTTGATCCTCGCCGGACTATTGCCCCTAGACCTTAGAATCCAAGAGGCCACTGTGCTATACGAAGCAAAGAGAGGATTATTTCAGTCTGAATTGGAAGGTGCCCTGGAGCAAAGAGTATTGTGGATGCGTATTGCGTATTCTTCATCCCTCCAACGAACCTAATACCAAATTTATGGCCTATAGAGAACAAGAAGGTCCTAGAATAGATGCACCAGCAGTAAAGATTTATACGGACGGAAGTAAAGTAGACGAATTTCAGTCGAGAGGTCGGCGCCAGTGTTTCCTTATGGAGAAATGGTGCCGAATTTTAGACTTTTAAATTGAAACTATCTTCATGCTGTTCCGTGTATCAAGCTGAACTGGTGGCTATTCTTAAAGCAACTCAAAGGATCCTTTGTCACCCAGAAGCAACCTACGGCGTATATAGTGACTCCCGATGTGCACTCGAAAGTGTTGCGGGTGGTCGCTCTTTCAATCCCCTTGTAGTTGAAATCTGTAAGAACATAAATAAAGTGCGTTGAATCAACAAAAAATTGATCTTTTTTGGGTTAAAGCGCATGCGGGCATGGAGGGGAACGAAAGAGCAGACCAACTGGCAAAGGAAGCTGCGCATCTAGAAGAGGCGCCCGTGTACAATAGATTCCCCATATCGCACTTGAAGAACTGCCTACATGGTAACACGATAGAAAAATGGAAGTCAAAAGTCAAAGTCAAATCTTTTATTTCAATTAGACCACCTAAAATGGCACTTTTGAACGTCAAACAAAATATAAAGAAGATTCTAGTTGCCCATTCCAAAAGGTAGCTTCGTGTGGAGAAGAATGGGCAAGAAACTCCACACTTATTCTTTTAAAATAGGTGTACAATATTTTGTTTACATTTGTTAAATAATTATATGTGAAGACAATGTACTCTTAGAATAAACTACTATACTAAAAAAGTTAGTATACATGTTCCTCACATATTTACAAATATCGAAACCGTAGAATATTTACATTAAAGAGTAATAAAAATAATAAAAAACACAATAAAACAGTGTGAGAGATAAAATAAAATAATTACATTTGTAGCATTATAAATTAAAACAAAAAAATAACAAAAATATGTTAAAGCAAAATATCAGCAACCAATTTGATTTTGTCCAGGCTCTATGATTGTCCTATGGAGCAGGACTAGCATGTTTCCAAGCATTCTTATCTTGAATATAATCCTCTAATTTGTAATAGGCTTGTTTACAAAGTGTACTCTTAATAAAACATTTAAATTTTCGTTCATTTAGTTTTAAAATGTTACAAGGTATTTTATTGTAACATTTAACACAGTACCCCATAAATGAATTTTGAACTTTGACTAATCTGAAAGATGGTTGAGGTATTTTATCTTTATTTCTAGTACTTAAATTATGTCTATCATTTATTTTACTAAAAAGATGTAGATTCTTTTTTTCATACATAATATTTTCATAAATGAATTGGCAAGGTATTAATCTTTTTAAATAGTTCCCTGAGAGATTCGCAACAGCGTAGATTATAAATGGCTCTGACAGCTCTCTTTTGCAAAATAAAAATGGATTCTATGTCAGCATCCCGACCCCACAGTAAAATGCCTAAAGAAATTATGCTGTGAAAGTAGCTAAAATAGACCAAACGCGCAGTTTCTACATTTGTTAAATATTTTATCTTTCTAACCGCATAAGCGGCTGAGCTCAGCCACCCCGCAAGAGATGTGATATGAGGTCCCCATTGTAACTTCTCGTCTAGCGTGATGCCTAGGAAAACCGTTTGATTAATAAATTCCAGTTTTCCTTCATTCAACATGATGTCACATTTCCTACTTTTAACATTTGGCAACGTAAATCTAATACATTTAGTTTTTTTATCATTCAGTGCCAAATTGTTTACCGTAAACCAATTTTGGACCCGAAGAATAGAGTTATTCACGTCGTCACGATTTTGTGACCGTCGATGTATTTTAAAAATCAATGATGTGTCATCTGCAAATAACACCATCTTCGGTTGGTTCTGAATTAATTGGGGTAAATCATTTATGTATACTAAAAAGAGGAATGGACCCAATATTGAACCTTGTGGAACGCCAATTGTAATTTCAGACCCCAATGAGTTTATGCCGTTAACCTGAACTTTAACCTGTCTGCCTTTCAAGTAAGATCTTAGTAAGTCCAGAGCTTTGTTCTTAATCCCGTAGTGATTAAGTTTCAGCAGAAGAGTCTCGTGGTTTACGCAATCGAACGCCTGGAATCACAGATATCGAAACGGCGAAACAGCTGCAATAACTAAGTTATTCCTTCCAAATTTTGTTTCAGCCTTTTCGATAATTAAACAAATGAAACCAACGGGATTGATTACCCAGATGTTGACAGGTCACGGTGGTTTCTTGTCGTATCTTTACAGGTTCAGGATTAGACAAAGTGCTGCCTGTCCTTGTGGCGATACAGCTGAAGAGACAGTGTTGCATGTTCTGACCGACAGTCCAATGTATGAATACGACAGGTATAACACTGAGCAAGCTATGGGCGTAAAAGTAACAGAGACGAATTTAAAGGAAATAATGTTCAATATTAGGTTAAAAGACATCTTTTTAGGATTTGCTATAAGTGTCATACAAAAAGTTGTTACAAGAAATAGGTATTAGTGTTTAATCATTCGGGTTACCAATATCATTTACGTAAGCTATTATAACCTCCGACGGCTACATAGTCAGGGAATTATCTAGAAAACATTTATTAAACAAAAACGTTTAGAAAAAAAACAAGTAATCATCACAATATTTATATTTAAGAACAGGATTAGATTTATAGAGTATAAACATATGTTTTACAAGTTCTAAAAAAGCTTTTAATGTTTGACTATATAGATAAATGACGTGCCAACAGGAATTATCTTTTCAATAATACATTTACTATTATGAGTTACATAATGGAAGACTTGTCACGGGGCCTGACCTTCAATATTTATAAAACATTCACCATTATTAACAATTTGTATATGTATTTAGATTAGGATGTTAAACATTATATGGACGCGGGAGTTTTTCGAAGAATTCCTCCAGGCCCTGTGACAACAAGAATTAATCTATATAATATCAATTAGTATGGCAACTTAAATTCACATGTAATAAAAAAATAAAATTCAAAAATAGTTTTGGTTACTATTTTTTCAAATTCTTTAGTACATAATGCCTCTTATACATCTAACGATACCGACTCCTATATACAAATTCGTATCGTAAATACTTAATTTAATATTTGGTTTAGCTAGCCCTTTTCAATCGTCGCCTATTACTAAGCATTAAACTACAAAAACAAATGTAATACATATTTGGAAATATAATTTTAAATACGTAGATATCCTTATTATTTATAGTTCCCTCAGCAGAAAATTAACTTACGATGATATTTTCGAAAACGGTTTTAAAAAAGTTTATCGTTACAATCAGTAATAACAACACCTAAATTTATTTAATAAATTATTTTATATATAATTTAATATGTCAATAAATATAATCCATATGGGTGCCTAGCAAATTTCAGTCCAGAGTATTTTTAATTAATTTAAAAAAATTTTTTTTATTAATAATTATATCTATACAATCAAAGTATGAACCATAGAATATGAAAAGTTAGGTTGTTTTTAATCAATTATATTTATGTGTATATTTTTATGTGACATAAAGTATATATACATCTTTATATAAAAGAAGGTTATAGTGATACATATATAATATACCCTGATTAAAAATATTGATTGAAAAAGTTCAAAAAATTTACTACATCTAATTATAAAAAAATTTTTTTTTAAATATTAATTAAACATACTCTGGACTGAAATTTGCTAGGCAACCCATATGGATTATATTTATTGACATATTAAATTAAATATAAAATAAGTTTCATTAAATAAGCATCTCGGTGAAGGTCGTTGTATAGCGGGATCTTATACTATATGTTCAGATACTTGTAGAACACCTCAGGGAGTTATTGTACGTAGTAGGTATTTGGATAATTCAAATAGTGATAATAAATATATGAATATTTTGTCAACAAACAATATACTATAACACAAAAACTTTTAATCAAGCATACACTTAGCCACACGACTGTGTTTATACTCTGGAATGCTTTACGATATCTATATAAAATTATATAATAGACATATAATCTAAACCTATATCTATTATCTACAAACGAGTATTATACTACAGGCACTGCACTTTTAATACCTTCAATATAAGAAAGGTCTTATCCAATACATTAGATGGCTCTAAGATCCAAGAATATAAAATATTTGAGCATTTTAAATACCGCGCAAAAATACTTCAATTATAATCTAATTTTATATTCTGGTAATTAAGTATTACTTATAACGTTTAACTTACACCATAATCTCTTACGCGTAAAGTTTTGGCACATGTCTTTGGTTTATGGTAGGTGCGGTAGGTATGGTTAAACTAGTTAATATACAAAGTTTGATAGTATTTATAAAACTACATTACATAAGTACAACTACATTTAAACTACACTGCATATACTTCTGCATGGCTTAGCATCATTAGTGTGATTTGCAATTAAAGCGCGTAATATATCCAATCAGCAATATTATGTTACTTGATTAACGTTTAGAATTCACTTTAAGTTCACGTTTTCTCACTGCTGTCATTTAATCACCGTCATATAAATACGTGTATATCCAAAGTAAATACTTCAGTCTCGATAAGGCTTGCAAATGGCGAATCGATGGTTCATGTGCTGACTGTAGGAGCCGGAGTGGGAGAACTTCTTGAGGCACTTGCAGCACTGAAACGGCTTCTCCCCGGTGTGCAGCCTCTTGTGCTCCGTCAGATGGTGCTTGTGCTTGAATGATTTCGGGCACTCGGCGCATTTATATGGCCGCTGACCTAAAAATTCAGTCGTTTGATCATGTTTACATTTACTTTAATATAAGAATATAGTTAAAAAAATTTGAATAAAAAAATAGAATTGATTACTGTAACTAAATATATTAAAGTACCTGAATGTTCGTATTTATGTCTGACTAATGAACCTTGTTTCACGAAGGTTTTATCGCATTGATCGCAGGCAAACAGTCGTTCTTCGTCTCGATTTTCTTTTTCTTTCAACTTGCTGTTTTTAGGAAGTGCCATGTCTTCTTCGAAAAGTTCAGTTGTAGGCTCGTTACTACGAGGTCGTTCGTTAGTTGGATTCCACATTTGTCTATTAGTTCCGGGCGTATCAGTGCCGTATAATTGAAGAGATGGATAACTACCCTTTGCTAGATCATGGTAATGAAGTAACTTTCCTATTGATATTGAAGGGTTGTTCGATAATTTTGGTTCCTTATACCTATAATTAGCTTCAGTTGGAGATGGTGAAAAACGAATATCAGTGAGAGGCGAGGAACAATTGGAATGTGAGTAAGCATTGTAGCGACTTGGAGACGGGCTCCGAGACGACTTTTGGCTTAAATTTATTGCTTCTTCCGAGTCAGAAATCACCACGGATAAACAGGCAGGAGAACCAGAGGTACTTGTGTCGTCAATTTTTTTAATGGATAAATCAAGAGGCTGATCGCCAATAAATGTTCCCTGGCTGGAGCGGCGTTCTCTGGCTCTATTATTTTGAAACCAAACTTGCACTACTCTGCTGTCAAGTCCAACAATCTGTGCGATTTTTTTAAATTGTTCCCTATTGGGCCGTGGGTTTAGATTGTACTGTTCTCTTAACATTAGTTGTTGTTTATCAGTTAATGCCGTTCGAACTCGCAGTTTTTTATCAGAATCATTTGGATTTTTTTCACAGCCTTTGCTTCCTATGTCTTCTTCTTGATGATTTAAGTCGTCTTTACAATCAAATACCACATTTTTGACAACTATCGATGACGCCTCAGATGTTGAGGCCTTGCCTTGAAAGGTCCTCAGAAAATGTCTATTTACAGAAGCATTAACTGATTCAAGCAACGAGTTAAACGTTAAAGAAGCTTCCACTTTAGTATCATTGCCGTTTAAACCGTTCTCTTTCTCCAAAGAACTTTCGTTTTGGTCGTCTTCCACGTCCATAATAAGATCTGCGCTTCCGTCGGACTTTCTATCTTCTTCCTCTAAGTCTTCTTCGATCAAAGCTTCGGGTGCCATATAACATTTAGATTGCATTTTAATATTTCTGCTCACCTGTTCTTGATAAGTTAAGTGCTGCATATAGTTAAACGAATTTGGGAAAGCATAAAGAGAAAATTCGTTTGTATTTGTGGTTACATTTTCAGGCAATGGTGTATACCCTGGATTTGCTCGATGATCCGGAAGCCCCGGATGCAGTTCCGGGTTGTAACCGGACTTTTGAGTTATTATCGATGCGAATAATGCTGCGGCTTCTTTATACTTGGCTAGCATAGGCATGGCTGGATTGTTTTCGAGGCTTTTACTTATATCTTCCGGCACATGTAATACATCGTCCTCTTGCTTCAGACCGGGACTGATATTTCGATTGTAAAGCTTGTTGTTAGACTTAATTCTGCCCATTTTTAAATTCATTGCCAAACATTTTTTCGATGTCATATGCGACGAATATGAACCCGAATGGGAAAATCTTTTTCCACAGTTTAAGCATTGAAAAGGTTTTTCTCCGCTATGTATCCTTAAATGCTCTTTAAGGTGATGATTGTGTTTGAACGCTTTGTCACAATTGTTGCACTTATATTTACGAAGATCTGGGCTCTCGTTGTGACTTATGGCATGTCGTTGCAGTTGATTCATTTTTGGAAAGCTCTTGTGGCAGATGTTGCAAGTCTGTAACCAAGTTTTATTCTATCTTATAAAAAAACACAACTACAACGGCTCTACTATTACTATAGGAATAAATACTACAACTACATCTACTACAACTACTTCTACTAGCATTTACTTAAGGAAGCCATAGCTACGAAAATTGTTTATTTTGCGTACCTTGTGAAGTGGTTTCCAATAATTCTTTTAGTGAAACACCCACACATACATTTTTCAAGATTGCTATTACTTACTCGTAGTCACTTTATTTTACAACATAAAACAGTCATATGGTAAAAGTTTGTGTGTTGTTCTAATTATGCCTTGTGGCTAATGACCCAACAATTAAAGTATTAAAAAGTAGAGGTAGGTAGAAATAATTAGATAGATACACAAAATGTATTGTGTATAAATGAGAGAGAGTGAGGGAAAGAAAGAAAAATAAACAGTAAAAGAAACATCTTCTCGTCAGGGTCTGTCATTATTACGTATACGGTTCACTTGGGGTAAGTGATGTTGTAATGTAATGCAATGTACACTGACATATCTGAGGGTATCCACCTGAGTGCTCGGCGAGTGCAGCGTCTCGTGCTTCTCAAGCTGGTCCCTCGTGGGGTACGCACCGCGGCACTGGCTGCAGCTAAACGGCCCTCCGGGGCCCAGCGGGGACCCGCCCCGCTCTTCCTCCTCCTCAGGCTTAATCTCAGGCCCACTACCCGCCAGGGGACCCACTGGAACAAATATACTAGTATACTATTTGCCACGCGTTTCAGAGGTTAATCGGAAAAACATGAAATATGTCAATTAAGTTGTCACTTAATAGTGTCCTATTACATATGAACAAGTGCAACAAGCCGATTTAACTAAGTTATAATTAACACAATATATATAGGCAGAGTTATTTGGTACGTTGGCGGTTATACTGGCGGTTCATCGTTTTTAAAAATAGTTCTTGTACGAGCGTACGTGCGGCAGCCGTCTGACTACACAAAAACATAAAGGTACCTACGAATCAATCTCATAAATCAATCTGATTAGTCTACCTTCAGCCCTTCTTTATATAAAATAAATTGTTATTTGTGTTGAACTTAAACAAGTCGGCAAAAGCTAATTATCATTGAATAGTCGTCATATAAACATGTTATCTAAGTTCTTTAACTTACAATTGTATACTGAAATTGTAATTATATTAGGTGACGTGGGAAAGCCCTGCAGGCAGATTCTGTGCAATTGCAGCCGGTGTCTGGTATTGAATTTTAGAAATTACGGCCTCGTAAACACCGCGCCGCACCGGTCATTTTATCCACCCTTTACGTGAGCCGCCCTACGCCCGTCCCATGCTAACCAATATCAGAGGACAATCGACAGTCATTGTCATTTGTCCCTGTATGTATTGAACTATAGATAATAGACCGAAACTCGCTGTAAATCTCCAACATCCGAAAGTCAGCCAACTAAATAATTCTATTCGATAACAGATGGCGTTGATCATGCGATTTTTGTAAGAAATTTGGCCAAGCCAAATTCGAGTTAAAGCAGTGTTATTGGTGAAGAGTACGATTGTTACCTCTGGTTCGAACCCCTGAACATAAGAAATGTTTCAATGTGAGCAATTAACATTTGCTAGTTTGACCATAGTTAACAATAGTGGCTTTATCCTCTGGATTCCCAATTTATATTTAATTGAAGATTTTATCGCTGACACACACACAACGCATTCTTGTTAATTCTGTTTAGTGTTTAGTTTTGTTAAAAATAAGCTCCGTAAAGTTGTATACTATATTCTAAAACTATATATTATCCGTATATTTTACCGTCGTATGGGAACAAAATACTTACCTTTTATATTTAATTGATAAGCGATGCTTTTTAACTGAATTGACGTGAACTATAGTAAGCGTTTCTTGAACTCTGTATTGACAACACAATGAGTGCTCTGAGGGCAACAATATTACTATCAGCTATCAATGAGGTGGAACGGACGGGAACACCTACACGAGCCAGCAATCTGCGCACAGGCAGCGTCCGTCAGTCGCTGATAAAACTCACACACTCACTGCGCGCTTCCTATTGAACTACATGAACAATTATCGCACGCACACATCGCTGGAGCCGATAGTGAGTCGGTCGATGGTCGACGACGTCGGGACTATGATTGGTCGCACCTGGACACCTACTCGCACCTCGGTCTTTTACTTTTTGAAATGTCCCTAAATTATTGTATTAGTCACTAATATAAAATTCCTTGTGCCCTTAGCTCGATTTTCCTTGTCCGCATACGCTCAGTATCTACATAGGTATGTGGTTAAAAGTATTTTTATAAGATGATTCATAATAGAAGGTAATTTGTTGTATAAAACATAAGCGGGTATTATGTATTTATAAGGAATAATTACCTATGCATTTAAGAAGAATCTATCGTGCACAAACTTGGCTAAAGTTTAATGCGCTCATAGCAGAACCTACTTTGCTTATTTTTTTTGGGTAATAACTATTACAGTGAAATCAAAGATTATAAATCCTATCGTAAAGCATGTAACGTCCTCTTCAAAAACTTTTTTTTATGAGATGTAGTGGATAGTAAAAACCGAAACAAATCTAGCTGCATTTAGTTAAATTTACCGACAATATATTTTCAACGAATAAAAAAAACATTTACTTAATTTTTAATAAAAATAATAATATAAATGTTGCTATGAAGATTGATATTTAATATACAAGCCTTCGCAGTATTTCAGATTATTTTATTTTCCTTTATATTGACTTGAGTGCTAATATAATATCACAATAAAAAAGGAACAAGTACTTACTAAATTATATAAGTAAATCAAATTAATATTGGTTTATTGAACAGTTTTAAGCATAAAGATGAAGAGCGGCGGAGAGCGGTCCTCATTCCCAATATTGTTTACGGAGCGATTATAAAGGCTCGTTAATGAGTTTGCTAATTTATACGTCTGTCTTCAGTAAACAAGTGATTAGACGACACGGCTACGCTCACTAAGCATCTACTCACGACATGCTCTAGGTACCTTTCCGATACTCCGCTTATAAATGACAACAAAATAATTTTCCTCAACGCTCCTTAGTACCGTCAACGGACCTGTTAAATAATCCCTCGCATTTTTATCGCAACTCTTTGTGCCGATTAACGCCAAGAGAAGATATCTATACTTATGACAAGCACAAATTATTTCAGTTTACGCGTTAGAAGTCAGAACTTAAGAGATATATCAAACGTCCCTTCACTCCAGACAGGCGGCCTCAAATATAAAGTAGAAAGTAAAAGAGAAAAAGCAAATGAATTAAAACAACATAATCATTTACGATTTAAGACGTTAAAAGAGATCGGTGCACCCCTCGACAAACGAAACTTTCTTTTAAGTCGGTGTATACCTGTTCCCGGCTCTCGAGTGGATGAATTATGTCTCGAGGGAACGAGGGAACGGCGGCTAGGTGCTCTAACGAAGACGTGAGCAAATTATATTTTTCATATCACTAAGATTGCACTCTGTGATGGATCGTCCGTAGAAAAATTAATTTAAAAAATTTAATTACTAACATTTTATTTAAAATAAGAATTCTATTAGATGAAATTCACGTCTCAAAAGTTTTCTCAAAATTATAAAGAAGAGAACTCTCTCTATAGTAGTAGAGTTTAGTTCCAACTTACTGAAAGTTTGTTTGTCGTAAGTTTTAAACAAATTTACTAATGGAAAAATTTATCTAAAGCAACTTCTGATATAAAATACGATAACATAAATAAACACACCAGCAAACAAAAAGAAAAGAAAATAAGCTTACTGAAGGCAGCGAGCCGCCTGGCCGAGGTGGTCGAAGTGGGGACCTTCTTACTCCTCATTTCCGCAAGCCAACCGGCCGCAAAGGTTTCGTACCAACCGCCAACTCCCATAAGCGAGCTGTGCACTTTCATCGGAAGACACGAGCACACAGAACACACCGCTAAGACCTACGCGCTACTCACAGCGGCAACCCCACACGTTGGCCAGGCTCCACAGGCGATACGAGTAACTGTCGCCGTAACACCCGAACATGTCATCGGTTCTCGCGACCATGGCCCGCACGGCACGTCTCGCCGAACTGACGGCGCGCGGCGGAATGCCCGCCGGTCCGCCCTCGGCCCGCCCTGCAAAGCCGCCCCCGCCCCACCCGCCTCACCCCACCGCAATCTACCTTACCAACTGGCCACGGTACCACGCTGGTCTTCATCTCGAAACACCATTAACCTTAAGGCATCATAATATCGAATTTCTATTATAAACATCTTAATTGTCTTAACCAACGGCGTTCTTTATTACGTAATAATAGGATTATAAAGATAAAAACAAAAATTTGTTTTGACGAATGAATTTCACGTTACTTAATTATATAATTTAAAAAATATATAACATATGCGGTACAACAGATGACTCTACGTTTTAAAGTATAATCGCTGCTAGCAACCGTAGTGGTGATATTAATACGCTCCACCTTCGTCTACCTGTCTTTTTCTAACATAATAGCGATTTGCTTATACGTTAAAAGACAAAACTGAAAGCATCTTTTTATATATATGTATTAATTAATATTAATTCCTAGAAATAAACTGTACCTACTTAACATTGTTTTTTTAAATGTTTGTAAATATGTATGTATATTACCTATTTACTTATGCCAATTTCGTATTTTAAGAAACCACTGCAACTGACTACAAATATAAGACGATCCAAAAGAGATAAGACTTCGAATCTTTATTATTATTACTATTTGTTAATGCAATGATATTTCTTTCACGCGTTATGCTGAGTAGATTTTTACTTTCGCTTTCTGCCACTAGATGGCGCTCTTGTCTCAAATAGCTAATGAATGGCATGTAAAAGTTATTTCGTTATTTATAGTTCGCATTCTTATTTTGCTTGCTTGCTCAAACATGATAGGTTTGTTTTTCGCTATAGTGTCAAAAAATAGATATTTATATAACTTAGATTGTATGTCATTTTTATTAAGCAAATTGTTATAAGTATTTTAAAAATCGTAACATTTTTAAATGTGTATTTTTAAGAATATAAAATTAGATACCATCAAGTTTTGTAAATAAGAGGTCGTATGTGTGTGCAAAATGTAACAAATAAATTAAATTTCGTTTTAATTGTTAAAATAAAAAGATATATCGTACCTATTTGTTATTATAAAATTAAATTTCGCATTTGCACAATGGACCCGCACTCTCGCCAATCCATACAACCTGAACAAATCTCGTGTTAGTTGGGGCATAATGAGGACGTGGAAGGCTTGCAATAACATTTAGGGCACATTGTAAAAACAAGGGCCACCCGCGCATCGCCACACTGACACGTGTGCAAAGGCAAAGCCTTTTACCGCTGCTCTACCAACATATAAAGTATAATATGCAGAGGCATTAGTCTCTTGTTTTTGTACATACTTATTATCTAAGTATTGTATATATAATGAATATTTTGTTTTTTTTTTTAACATAATTAATATAATTTTTTATATTGTCTTTATTGTTTAGTTGATTGCGAGTAAACGTAGTTCTCTCACGGTTATTAAAATAACTTCAACCAGGTGCTTTAAACCGATAGTTTATGGCCTAATAAAGGTGTTTTTTTATTATTTTGTCATTGACTAAGAAATTACCTGCCTTGCGTCTGTCCATGGATGACAGATGTTTCTTCGGCTATGATTTGTGAGAACAAAGCCCGTCTATGTTAATTTGGTTAAACTTTTCAATTCAGAAACTGCTTTTTCCTTTGCCCTATTAATAATAACGTTAAAGTTTCATTTTAAGTACCTGCATGTAAAACGAACTATTTCCTCGCGACACGGTGACCCGCATCGAAAGACTAAATATTGTGTACAATGTAGATCGTGCGGGAACACCACAAAAAATTGATTGATTGGAGATATTATTCTATTGATGTGATCAATGTCAAGGTATACGGGTGTTTAGTGTCGGTATCTAAGCAAATTGTACTTATTACAGACGTTAATATGAAAACTCAGAGAACATTATATGATTCTGTTTTATAAAAAAAATTACCTGCCCTTTAAAACTTTCATTTAAAATTTTGCTATCATAGTATGGATATATCTAACGACATATAATAAAATCGAACAATGTAAATTAAATATTTGTTTACTTAACTCGTAATTCATGGAAGATGGAAACATTTCAAATGTCAGCATTTTATTGAGGTTATAATTATAAAAGTCAATTACTACACTTAAGTCTGCACAAAACAAATTGTCTTCTTTTCCTAAGATCCCAATTAGGTATCTCTGCACCAAAGTTCATTCTAAACCTTATGCAAGTCTGAAATACTAACGAACAAACAGACTCCTGAGGTCTGAGTTATAATACTACGATTCCATGGATCCTGCCCTAAGCACATATGTGCGTCAGTTCCCCTAAAAATAGTGAATAAAGTTAATATGGTATAAAGTAAACTTTTAATAAAATATGTATATAAAACTTACACAGAACTGAGTTTGTCCATAATGTCAGTTACGGCTTTTCGTAGTAGATAAATGTTGTCGAACACGAGTGCGTCAGAATGTGAATAAAATTATTATTTTCATTATGTATATTGTTAAAGTGAGATAGTGACGACACGCGGCCCGTTATCGCAGGAAATGTACGTTTAATGCAACGTTTATCTGTCGCTGACGATTACTAACAGTGAAAACAAAAAAACCTAATCAGTTTTAGCCCTTTGGGTTATCGGCGACTGTCAGCAGATGTCAAATATTGTATGAGATACCGCTTTCCTCATGAATATGCAGTCACCTATGCTTTCAAACCATTGATGTATTTTTGAGGCGAGACATATGCCCAGTAATCTCGTTATGCACTAGCAAAAAGTTGTCAAAGACAATTAAGAAACCCGTGACTTCCTGCCCGAGTGGCCACATGTCTTACCTATCGATGCCTATTGTTCTTTGTTATCTACAAACAAGGGACTTAGTATCTATGACAAGTGCACAAAGAGGTTTGCATTGACACGTCGGCAGTAGACCATCTGGCACCAGGCTGGCCGCCGTCCCAGCGCCGGGGGACAAACTCGACCCTATGTCCCACGCACTAAGGTCCAGGTGACAACAATTAACATTTATTCTCAGGTCTGCTACGGTATGGCCGACACATGGCAATCGAACAAAGACACTTGTACCAATGAGATTTGAATGAGCTTAATTGAAATTTGTTTGGCTTTTACTTTGAGATTGTTTAATTATTTGTGACAATCACCTTTGCACTATTGTTGGAAAAACAACACTATTATTATGTAATGTTTTAGAGGTCTATTGTATCATTAGGATTTTACAATTAGCTTTCGTAATCTCAAAGTTGTAATACACGTGGGTGTCAATATAACAGCGTGTCTGTGACGGTTGAATGGCTGCCAATCTGCGCGTCGGCTAATGGCTTCCTAATCAACGTTCACCATTACCTATTCGAATTACGCGAAATTCCATGTTATACAACATAAATATTACATATTTAAATGGTTAAATTGATAAAATTAGCATGCAATTTATAAAATGTCGTATAAATATCAGACGGTATGTTATCACGTGTATGTTGCGGCACTCGCTCACTTACTGACTTCGGGGTTACTGCGCTGTGGTTTGCGGTCGCGTTTATTTTTAACTGATTGTTATATTTTAACTAATTTGCTATTTTATTAAAAAATATTTTGGTAAAGAAAAACAACATGTTTTTTAGCAGAATTCTCTGGCTTATGAAATCACCCTGTGTGTAGAACTCTCGAGCATAATGTATCATTGAGTAATCGCTTAATCAGTTTTATATTTTCGCTAAAACTCTGGGGCTTTTGGACAGACCTCTCCTCTCACCTGACCGTGAGTCTGGCAGAATGCCAAGTAAACCTGCACACTAACCTACATTGTGTTTTAGCGTTTCTTCCGAAATACAAGTACAAGATAATTATGATTAAAATAATTACGACGAACGAAGTAAAGGATTATTTATACCAGGTTAAATGGCTAATTGTAAAAAAAGATATTTTGTTTGAAAACAAAAGAAGGCGAGCTAAGTTGTAGCCCACATCGGTTAGAGTAATTGCGTTAGCAGTTTGTTTATTTTAAATGAAGTACGGACGAGAGAATATTCTCAATTCAGTTGCGAGCGGAGCCAAATTGTACACGCATTCGTTTCACTACGCCGGAACTGAGAGAAGAATTGCGCACAGATTGAGTTTGTGCTGCTTACGCGTAGCAGTAGTTACCTTTCTACGGACAAGGGCTGCGACAAATTCAAAGTAGACACGCTACACAGCAGCAGCTAGCAGACACTCTGCTTCTCATCATAATAAAATCCTGCTTGATGTTCTTATTGTTAAGATTTAAGTTCGTTTATTTTGTTTCGTTATACATTCTCTAATAATCATAAACAACATCTTCGCAACGTCTTACGCTGAAACAGAAAATATTCTTACTGTACATCAATAGCTTAATTATAAAATGTAAGATATCAAAAGAAAGGGACTGGCTTCCCACGACACAGGGAATCCTAGAGTTAGGGGCTAGTGCACTTTATTTTTACCTAAATATACTTTTTATTGTGTATAATTATTGTTTTTTCTTTCTTTCTTTATTTCTTTTGTTATATGTTAGAACAATTAATTATGTGGAGCGGTGGCGGAGCGTCGGCGACTGGCAAATGTCGCGAGTGTCGGCAGAACGGAAGTGCGCACTGTGAAGGTTCGCGCCGACGAGTTGTTTTTTAAATTTCAATGCGAACCGGAAACGAGGTCGCGCCAACAACCTTCATAAAGCTATGTCTTGCGAAAACTTGAATGGGCTGTGAACGAAATTACAATTTAATATGCAACTGTCGCCATAATAAAGATATTTTTTGTATACGTTTCAAAATAATTTTAAATTTATTATAGCTTTTGTTTCGATACAGTTGAGGTTTCGTTATTGTATCTGAATTCGAATTAATATCGTATTTTAAATTCACAAAAACATTTTTGATACTGATGATAATTTACTTATTATATTTATTATACTTTCCTGTTTTGCCCAAACTATTGTGATGTCATCGGTTGAAATAATTTAGCAGGTAACAAATAACAAAGAGCAATTAATCAGATAGATTTCTGAGAATGCTGGAAGTAGGGCCACGTGGAGCGCTCCTTCACCCCTGGCCCACGATAACACTCATTGACGTCACGGCGACACCGCATTAGTTAAGCTCGACACACGTGAGCTGTTTTCA